AACTACATCTTAGAGAATATCTCAATAATTATGTGTGATTCTACACTAAATTTTTGGTGAATGTTACGTATATTGGGGCTTTAAAACTTCATACGGCGAAATAATTGAACTCCAAAGAATAATTATGGTTTATCTCCCTTCCGTACCGACATCAACACGTAAGTCCGCCAGGAACGCCATCAATAATCACCTCAATATCGGATTGCAACTCTGATACATGCTGAGTGTACCAGTTCCCTTCAGGATGACTAAAACAATTATCAAGCTTTATCATAAATCCTTCAAGATGAACAGCTCGTTATAAAAAGTATCGTCATTTTTTAAGTTTCGAAGCGTGGTCGAAGCATAAAACTGGCAATATACAGCCATTTTCGTATGTCCCTGCGCTTTGAATACCCTCTATTTTTAAAACGAAATCGACAATCAACTAGTTCCTGTTCAGGAATCACCATAATATATCTAAGAACAGACACAACGCATTTGCAGTATTGGCCAATTAAATTTAAAATAGTCATTTTAAGTTCATTTCAACTATGTACACCATCCGGTGCACATACAATTTCACACCCAATACAGAATGAAAAACAAGAGCGAAATTTCAACTGTATCTCTTTAATGCCATTGATCATTAAATTATAAAAAATACTGGAATTACAAGATAAGAATAAATAATAATAAAAAAAAATAATAGAAAACACCATATCTTGGCAGGGCTCTCGCACCCCATTTTGGGACTGGGGCCCGGGGCCCTTAGAATTGGGAAAAATAATGGTGTTTTCTTTGGAATTGGAAAACTTGGGATCTAAATTGGGAAAAAAAGATACTATTTTGCTTTGGGAATGGGGCCGAATATCTACCCCAAATCTGGCAGATCGAGAGCCCTGCTTGGTATATCAGTGAAAATAACAAATGTAAATACAGACTAAAAACATGAAAAAAATAAAGATAGACATTGCATGTATAACGTCTTATAAAATATAAATCGGGCATCATGTAAAATACATTCATGAAATACCTATCTAAACTTATCATTATATGTGTTTCAAAAGTTCATGAAATTTATAGACTTTATTTTATGAAATACAATATATAATTACAAGAGGCCCAAATGGCCTGCACTGAAAACTTTACTTTAATCAATAATATATAGAGAATGTAAGGGGTGCTTATTATTCGGGTTTCCTCGGGTTTCTTCGGGTTACAGGTTACAAAATACCTTTTCAACCAGTCTTAAAAGAATTTGCTATTACAACATTTTTACCTTTCGGCAGACGAGATCTATTACAGGTGTTCTAAAGCCAAATATATTGATCACAAAGCACCTCCATTTTTATCTGTTAGGTAATTTTATGTTTATTCCTTTACATTGAAGTGAATTATGTGGAATCTGGACTTGTATAGTGAAAGAACGAACCACACAGCATGCATTTAAAGAAAAGAGATGTCTAACAAGAAATACGTCGGATCGAGTTGTGATCATAAGATAACCTGTTAAAACCTGTTAAAATGATAGTATAACGTAACATGACCTACTTTATTCCCTCCGGCTTTTTTTTTGCAATTTTTGGTTTTGTCTTATCTAGTGGGTACTAAAATTTTCCTGAAAGTAGTCTTAGCACTTTAAAAGTACAAATTTTAAGTGTGACTACTAATTACGATGAATACTAACCTGTGACGGGTGTATCATTCCGCCTGTGGTACGTTGATTCTCTGATGTCATAACTGGTGCGGAACGATCCTCATGTATCATCTACATTACACAAATGCTCGAGTTAACTAAACGCTGTGTCATGAGAAGTTTTAAGGGAAATCATTCGTGTAATTCAATCGTTTTGAGATTTCGTTTTTTAAAATTTATTTTTTATTATTTCAATGTCTTTAACAATCCATCAAAAGACACGAGGCTGTCAGAGAGCCATCCTGCCTTTTGCGGAATGTTGGGTGGTGATCCTGTCTGTAAACGTATCGAGCGCTCGAGAAAGTTAAGTCGATCGCTCGAGATAGTAAGTCGAGCACTCGAGATAGTAAGTCGAGCGCTCGAGATAGAAAGTCGATCGCTCGAGATAGTAAGTCGAGCACTCGAGATAGTTAGTCGATCGCTCGAGATAGTAAGTCGAGCACTCGAGATAGTACGCCGAGCGCTCTAGATAGTAAGGTGATCGCTCGAGATAGTAAGTCGAGCGCTCGAGATAGTAACTCTAGCACTCGAGATAGTTTGTCGAGCTCTCGAGATAGTAAGTCGAGCACTCGAGATAGTAAGTCGATCGCTCGAGATAGTAAGTCGAGCACTCGAGATAGTAAGTCGAGCGCTCGAATTCAATAAAAAAATATGTTTGTCCTAAACCAGCCACCGTAGTATGCCATTGATCCTTATCATCGTTAGTTCTAGCCTCTGCATGCTAGTTCATTATGGAGAATGCTGATAAAATTATCGTTGTTTGCGTCTAGAGAAATGAACCATGGGTGGTCGAGAATTGAACTGGTTAACACTCTTGCCCTTAGCCAGAGTAACCTTGGGTTGGATTATTTGATAGAAATTGATATGTAACAAGATAGATTAAATAGTTTATTGGGGTTTCTGCTCACACGTAGACAGCCTCGATGTTCATTAAGTTATTTCAATTTGTTCCTCTAGACAGATAAAATTATCCAACCATTGCGATTTCACTTCAATGAATTTTCTTACTGTGACACTTAATTATGCCTTCGTTTATGCTTTTATTACTGTGTCGTTGAATGTTTAATTTGCCGTAAATATTCCAATACTAATCAACTGATGTTAGATTATTCAATGAACATAACCGAAAAATATCTATTCTTGTTTTTCAGTGTATTAGATATAAATCATATCAGTTTTCGAAGACTTTTAAATTTACGAAAGGAATTACGTCACGTGTTTATAGATCAACCTAATCCAGGGATTAACAGCGTGTATACAGGTGAAAGACAGGTGAGCTGTAGATTTAATCTTAACAAGGTAGTAATTAAACAACAATAAATAAGAATCCAAAGTAAGAGAAATTTCAATATTTATATAATTATCAATGATCAATCATGATTTGTTTATCTCGTGAATTAGTCGGAAGTTACCACCAAATTATGGACCGTCTCAAAACACTTTTTTGTTTGCTGTAATATGACAAACATGGAGTAAGAAGTATACTTCCTTGATATTAACGTTTGACGTTCGATGAGACGTTTCAATTAAGCTACATTGCTTTTATTTTTAAATTGTGTGAACTTGTGTTAAGCGATTTTTGTAATGAATGTTTGACTTACCATTTTGAGAAGGATACACCACAGAAGTTTTTTTTTTGCATAAAATGATATATATTTTTTATTCAATTAGAATATTTCGTTGCCTTTATATAGGAAACCAGGTTTGCGTTTATCCTGTTTGATTAAAATGTTATTTTTTCTACAATTTAAACTAGAGAAAGCTGTATGTGGAAAATGTTTTTTCCAAGAAATAAATCAGTATTGGATTTCGAGGAGAAAAAAGATGGAGGTTTTCTATGTACATAATTTTGATCTTTGTTATAAATATATCAACTTCATAATATACACAGAGGTTGTCTGTGTCAATGAGAAAAGGACATTCAGACGGCTGTGTAATTGGAAAGAATTTTTTGCCAATGCTTTCGGAGTGGACGATGAAATTTTGTACACCTGGAAAAAAAATGAATGAAAATCTATGGCTTCCAGATGATATTTTCTAATAAAAATGAGCTAATAATTTCCAAATCAGAGTAAAAAACCAGTTGTGATTGAATATGTAATCGAGGGTTGGAAAGAAGACTGCAATGCAACAACATAATATTGGTTTCAACGACTTCCATATAAGAACACCGAGGACGATCAACCAGCTACAGCAATTCAGATACGGTTCAAATAAACTTCACTCCATGATTAATATAGCGAGATGTATTTGGCCCATTCTAGCACCTTTATAGTAGGAAATTGGAATTTTGTGTGCAAATTTACTCGGAGGGATTTTAAACCTACAACTAAAGGTCGTTCTAACATGATCTACAAAGGAGTTTGAGATACTGATGACAGATGCCAAAAAAGGGTTTACAGAAGCTCGAACGGAAGTTGGTGAGGGAAAATATCATTATTCGTAAAAGTAATTTGGTTGAAACAGCTATCATTGCGTTGAGGAAGAACATTTCAAACATATTGAGAAATGAGAAACCAGACCTGTTGACCATTTTACGGATAAGAATATGACTGTTGTTTCCTCCAGTGGAAGCCATCATGTTCCAGTATTAAAAAAATAGTAAAGCTTTCTCATACAGTAAAGAATATATCAATCAAAAGATACATAGATATTTATCTTATTTTAACTGTCTCTTTCAAATACAGGATTGGCTTATAATGTACAGCAACGGCCATATACATACACCAGGCCCCACTTGTTTAAAACATCTCAACTTGAGATTTCCTTAAGTCGAGATCTTCCTCAGCTGATATCTCCTCAAAAACGGCTTGTATAAAATTTTCTCAAGGAACAGGAGGAAGTCATCGGCTAGGATGTCCTGAAATTTTCATACAAGATATTTTCGAGGAGATATTAGCTGAGGAAAATCTCGACTTGAGGAAATCTCAAGTTGAGATGTTTTATACAAGTGGGGCCAGATATAGTAAGACATGTAAAGGAAAATAGATCAGTGTATCCGAATATACTTATTACGTTTAGTCATGCAACAAAACCGCACCAGGGCACAAAAAATGAGGCCAATCGTAGTTTTTGCAGATAAAGACAAACTTGCCCTTAATTTGACTTTGATACGACCACTTTTATGATATGGAGACAACACGTGACACCGACGGAATGTATACTAGTGTCATTTAAATTAAGTGACGTCAGAATTTTAGCTATTTTATTATTTCTTGTTGGAAACCCGGCCAAGCAAAGATGCACCTTCACTGACTGTATACGTAGCCTACAATATATGACATTTTCAGTTGAGGAAGAGAAAAACACAATACATGAAAACATGGATCCAGAACCAATATCTTTTCGGTACATGTTGGTTTGTCTAGCAAATGCACTGATCAATCTAGCTATAATATCACCACTAGTTGTATGCTATTGGAGAGGAACGTGGGAGATCATGGATGTGTTCGTTTACCCTGCCGATTTCGTGCTTACTTCCTGGGTGTCTGTAGCCATCGGTAACGCAATTATATTCCTGTTTTCAATTTTCCAAGGTGGAATTACAAATATTAACAAATTGAAAAACCCTTTCGCACATTTCGTTCTATCCAGACTCTATGTATACTTGCTTGGGTTCGGATGTGTAAGCCAATGGCGGGGGATATGGTTTCTTCAAGACCACTACACTGGAAAGACATGGCAAAGCGCCACCGGGACCGCAATAATTGGAGTGACCACACTTTGTTGTTTTCGATGTCTCAGTGGAATTGTAGCGTCGCCATTGGTCCTCCTCAGGGATAATGACCGAAAAAACATTTTTACTTTGACCAGGAGATTTTCCTCAGATGTAAGTTATGTAGTGTTCTATCTGAGTTAAAGGTAAAAAAAAGTCGAGAAAGCACCTTGTCATTCTAACGGGACGAATAGTTGAAAAACGATTTTATATAAGGAAAGAAACACTATTCATAAGTTTATGGATAGAACTGGAATATTTCATAATGCCATCATAATGCTGTCTGTAAATGTTTAAAGCACGCAAGAAAAACCTTGAGCGATATATTTGGTTATCAATTACCATTGATTGCACAACGGTATAACTTTGTTAAGCTTGAATGGGTTCTACTTGCCAGTTCTATACGGATAATTTATTGGTAACGTGCCACCAAATCATGTAACTATCATAAATCAATGTAGCCCCAAAACTTGTCCCGAAATATTGTAGACACCACCAAATATTGTTATCCTCGTCAACTACTGTACGCGCACTAAATATTGTAGACACCACCAAATATTGTAGACCCTGTCAACTACTGTACGCGCACTAAATATTGTAGACACCACCAAATATTGTTATCCCCGTCAACTACTGTACGCGCACTAAATATTGTAGACACCACCAAATATTGTAATCCCCGTCAACTACTGTACGCGCACTAAATATTGTAGACACCACCAAATATTGTAATCCCCGTCAACTACTGTACGCGCACTAAATATTGTAGACACCACCAAATATTGTAATCCCCGTCAACTACTGTACGCGCACTAAATATTGTAGACACCACCAAATATTGTAGACCCTGTCAACTACTGTACGCGCACTAAATATTGTAGACACCACCAAATATTGTTATCCCCGTCAACTACTGTACGTGCACTAAATATTGTAGACACCACCAAATATTGTAATCCCCGTCAACTACTGTACGCGCACTAAATATTGTAGACACCACCAAATATTGTAATCCCCGTCAACTACTGTACGCGCACTAAATATTGTAGACACCACCAAATATTGTAATCCCCGTCAACTACTGTACGCGCACTAAATATTGTAGACACCACCAAATATTGTAATCCCCGTCAACTACTGTACGCGCACTAAATATTGTAGACACCACCAAATATTGTTATCCCCGTCAACTACTGTACGCGCACTAAATATTGTAGACACCACCAAATATTGTAATCCCCGTCAACTACTGTACGCGCACTAAATATTGTAGACACCACCAAATATTGTAATCCCCGTCAACTACTGTACGCGCACTAAATATTGTAGACACCACCAAATATTGTAATCCCCGTCAACTACTGTACGCGCACTAAATATTGTAGACACCACCAAATATTGTAGACCCTGTCAACTACTGTACGCGCACTAAATATTGTAGACACCACCAAATATTGTTATCCCCGTCAACTACTGTACGCGCACTAAATATTGTAGACACCACCAAATATTGTAATCCCCGTCAACTACTGTACGCGCACTAAATATTGTAGACACCACCAAATATTGTAATCCCCGTCAACTACTGTACGCGCACTAAATATTGTAGACACCACCAAATATTGTAACCCCACGAAATAATAAAGTCCCAGCAAACTACGGTAACCTCAACCAAATAGCGCGAAGCCAATACTGTAACCCATTTCAAATAGTGTAACCCCCTTTCAAATAGTGAAAACCCTTTCAAATAGTGCAACCCCTTTCTAATAGAGAAACCCCTTTCTAATAGTGTAACCCCTTTCAAATAGTGTAACCCCTTTCTAATAGTGTAACCCCTTTCAAATAGTGAAACCCCTTTCTAATAGTGAAACCCCTTTCTAATAGTGTAACCCCTTTCAAATAGTGTAACCCCTTTCTAATAGTGAAACCCCTTTCATATAGTGTAACCCCTTTCAAATAGTGCAACCCCTTTCAAATAGTGTAACCCCTTTCTAATAGTGAAACCCCTTTCATATAGTGTAACCCCTTTCAAATAGTGCAACCCCTTTCAAATAGTGTTACCCCTTTCTAATAGTGAAACCCCTTTCATATAGTGTAACCCCTTTCAAATAGTGTTACCCCTTTCAAATAGTGTAACCCCTTTCAAATAGTGCAACCCCTTTCAAATAGTGTTACCCCTTTCTAATAGTGCAACCCCTTTCAAATAGTGTTACCCCTTTCTAATAGTGTAACCCCTTTCTAATAGTGAAACCCCATTCATATAGTGTAACCCCTTTCTAATAGTGTAACCCCTTTCTAATAGTGAAACCCCTTTCTAATAGTGAAACTCCTTTCAAATAGTGAAACCCCTTTCTAATAGTGAAACCCCTTTCTAATAGTGTAACCCCTTTCAAATAGTGTAACCCCTTCTAATAGTGAAACCCCTTTCATATAGTGTAACCCCTTTCAAATAGTGTTACCCCTTTCTAATAGTGCAACCCCTTTCAAATAGTGTTACCCCTTTCTAATAGTGAAACCCCTTTCATATAGTGAAACCCCTTTCATATAGTGTAACCCCTTTCAAATAGTGTAACCCCTTTCTAATAGTGTAACCCCTTTCTAATAGTGAAACCCCATTCATATAGTGTAACCCCTTTCTAATAGTGAAACCCCTTTCTAATAGTGTAACCCCTTTCTAATAGTGAAACTCCTTTCAAATAGTGAAACCCCTTTCAAATAGTGTAACCCCTTTCTAATAGTGAAACCCCTTTCTAATAGTGAAACCCCTTTCATATAGTGTAACCCCTTTCAAATAGTGTAACCCCATTCATATAGTGTAACCCCTTTCTAATAGTGAAACCCCTTTCAAATAGTGAAACCCCTTTCAAATAGTGAAACCCCTTTCTAATAGTGAAACCCCTTTCAAATAGTGAAACCCCTTTCAAATAGTGTTACCCCTTTCTAATAGTGCAACCCCTTTCAAACAGTGTTACCCCTTTCTAATAGTGTAACCCCTTTCTAATAGTGCAACCCCTTTCAAATAGTGTTACCCCTTTCTAATAGTGTAACCCCTTTCTAATAGTGAAACCCCATTCATATAGTGTAACCCCTTTCTAATAGTGAAACCCCTTTCTAATAGTGTAACCCCTTTCTAATAGTGAAACCCCTTTCAAATAGTGAAACCCCTTTCAAATAGTGTAACCCCTTTCTAATAGTGAAACCCCTTTCAAATAGTGTTACCCCTTTCTAATAGTGTAACCCCTTTCTAATAGTGAAACCCCATTCATATAGTGTAACCCCTTTCTAATAGTGAAACCCCTTTCTAATAGTGTAACCCCTTTCTAATAGTGAAACCCCACCAATTAGCGTAATTTCAAACCTAGCAAATTTTGTTACCCAAGCAAATTTTGTGATCCCACCAAATCCTATCACGATATTGTGACCTCGATTATGCTGCACGAGGCGAGTGGGTTACGGGATTGAAATGGATATCGAATTAATTACTAAATTGCGTTACCTGGTTAACACCTGTTGGTCCCATTACTACCAATAATGTTAGCAGTTAGTCGTGTTACATTGATCTTCATTGGATGTAAAGCTATATTATCCAGTTAACACCGATTCTGGTGTAAAGTGATTCGATGTTAACTGACACCTTTTAAGGGTTGCCACCTTTTTGGTGTAATCTCACAGTGTAGTTTGTCCAAAATACACTCCGTGCTTCATACTTAAGCTACCCAATAAAATACATACATGCTTAGCATATGTCAAATATAGAACTGCTGACGATTTTGTTTTTTTTTTAGTTTAAACATATTTTATTGCCAAAATAAATTTGAACAAGGAAATCGGGCACATCTTATTGGAGCCATCTCCCATCATACATTTACAAAGACATGCTAATAAAGATATAGGCTTAAACATAAATTATACATATTAAGCATTCACACACAGACATAAATACATCATTGTGTCAGGATCTTTAAAACATTTTGCTGGATTTAATGAAATTTTGCACATGTGTAAAGAGAAAAAAGTTTAGGTCCTCAGGAAGATCAATACTACCAAACAAAAGCTCTAAATTCAAATCTACTTCTAATTCAGCCAGATTATGAAACGAAGTGCGTCTTTCATTTCTGAAAGTTTGACACTCAAAGAAGAAGTGAAAGGTAATTTTGACTTGTCAATCTTTCCCTATCGTGGTTTGGCAGATTTTCTTTTTTCCCTTTTCGCTAACATGACGGACAATATCTAACATTTCTCAGAATTTCTATTTCTCAACATTGAAATAAGTTATTTTAAAAAGAAACGTTTTGTCACAATAACATATGTAATTATAGCTCAGAGGAATATATTTTTGTTGCAATATTGATATCATGTGAAATCACGGGACAACTGCAATTAACTTATCCAAAAGCATATCAAAAGAAGCTTAGCATAATTTGTATAAACATATATGTTAAACTATGTGTGGTTTAACAATTTCGCATGTTCCGTTTGACTGACAGAATGAACTTTGACCAAAACGGCGTTTCACGCACTCACAGAAATTCAAGCGCGAAATAAAATAGTTCTTTATTGTTCTTGTTATATAATTTTCATACAAATTTCTACCGTATAATGGACTTTAAAATACTATATATTTATAAGATTTCTTATAAGTTGTTATAAATTATCATATTTCTAAAACATTCTGGCATTTTATTTCAAGTCATATTATTGCGCTGCAATCAACGTTCGTAAACAAAGCCAATAGTTTTGCTTGTGGTAGAAACCAGTCACACTAACTTATGGTTATTTCAAAAGTTTGAAAAATAATTAACGAGAGTGAAATAAATACCATAAACAACAACCACGAGTTGTGTGACCTCTGTCTGACTGATGAGTTACGTCATATTTTTGACCAGGCACTGAAGGTCTCTGACTGAGTCAACGATATCTAATTTTGGTAATTTTTTTTATTATATTTATAAACAATAAGCTTTATCAAATATTTACTAACATTTATAAGATGCTAACGATTAGTTATATATTGTTAAGACTATAGGTAACTTTGCACTTGTTTTTTTTCATTTGCTGCCGGAAAAAGATATGAATATATTCGCGATGATTTTTCCAACGGTTTACATAAGATGAAAAAAAACCCCTATAACTATCAGAGATAACATTTAGCCGTAATTTACACCCACAGGTTGTTCCAGGTATCAAATTTCCGATGGACGTCGCTTTGACTGTAATTTTCATCAACAATCTGGTAGTATTTTTCTGGCGTGGAATCTGGACCCTACTAGATCTTTACCTCGTTCCAGACTCGGTCATTGTTTCCGGGGCGTACTCATTCATCATCAGCTTCAGCCTGGCCATACCGGTTCTTCTCAGTCAACATGGCGTCCAACGCTTGTCGCAGTACCTCCACAAGAGGATGTTCTTGTTACAGATCCTTCTCGAGGCTGTATTTCTTGTTGTTGCTGGCACACTATCTGTCTGTCATTGGAGGGGGGCATGGCTACTCCAGAATGGATTCCTCTTCCCAGAAAACAAAGTGCTCAGTGTCTGGGTGTCGCACATAGTCGGAAGTGCAGGACTCATAATTCTTTTTTCTTCAAGAAGCTATCTTACGTCTGGGTGTTTCATGGATACAATCATCCATAAAATGGAAGGACCTATATTTGATATTAGATTTCTGAAATGGAAAGAGGATCAACTGGATACAAATGGGGATAGCTATGATGTAGTAGAGACAAAAGTGGATTTGCCAGCGTCTGATGTCAACTCTCCGTCATCTGAATGTGACGTCATCCCGCAGTTTGAATGTGATACAAGGCTGTAAAAAAACGCTCAAATGTCTAGAGCACTCATCACGCAAGATTCAAGTTATTTACCCAAAGGTTGAATCATGGACGAGTCACGAAGGAATAACTTCCTCTGCTTGATTTAGTAAAATTAATCAATTAACAATTATCAATCAATAAGTTCTTGTTATTGTGACGTAAAAATTAACAAGGATTTCTTTGTTCTAAGGAATCAGTTAAGTTCCTTATTAATTTTAGTGTATTCACATAAACCACAGTTTATTATATAAAGTTAGCAAGAGAGAAAACCTCTCACAGTATCTTTATCTCTCACAGTATCTCACAGTATCTTTATCAACAACTCTCACAGTACAGTTCGCAAAACCTCTCAGTATCTTTATCAACAACTCTCACAGTACAGTTAGCAAAACCTCTCACAGTATCTTTATCAACATCTCACACAGTACAGTTAGCAAAACCTCTCACAGTATCTTTATCAACAACTGTCACAGTACAGTTAGCAAAACCTCTCACAGTATCTTTATCAACAACTCACACAGTACAGTTAGCAAAACCTCTCACAGTATCTTTATCAACAACTCTCACAGTACAGTTAGCAAAACCTCTCACAGTATCTTTATCAACAACTCTCACAGTACAGTTAGCAAAACCTCTCACATTATCTTTATCAACAACTCTCACAGTACAGTTAGCAAAACCTCTCACAGTATCTTTATCAACAACTCTCACAGTACAGTTAGCAAAACCTCTCACAGTATCTTTATCAACAACTCTCACAGTACAGTTAGCAAAACCTCTCACAGTATCTTTATCAACAACTCTCACAGTACAGTTAGCAAAACCTCTCACAACATCTTTATCAACAACTCTCACAGTACAGTTAGCAAAACCTCTCACAGTACATTTATCTAAAACCATCACATCAAATCTATCAACAAATTTCACAATTTATTTATCAATAGCTCTCACGATACCTTTATCCACAAATGTCACAGTACATTTATCAATTCGCTCTTTACATTCGTCCAAGATTTCCACACTAAAATTATGCAGTTTATGTGTTTTCACGTTTTTAATCTTACTATATACCTTAAATGTTTTCTATGCATTGTATTACATATTTTGTTGGACTCGCAAGTCTGCAAGGCTTCCATTATAAATACTCTTTCTCCTGTTTTTACTGAATGATTAAAGATACGTTTTGTTATCTGTAATTATTAACTGAATATATTTAAATATGCGAGGATATTTTAAACAATATTTCTCCATAAATTTATTTCTAATATTTTTAAATGGACAACGAAACTTTTAGTGAAATTTCTTTGAATAAAACTTCTATACATATCTAACGAACGCTTTGTATGTGACTACATCTTCTTTACAATCTTGTTGAAATATATAATAGCTTTTTGTTACTTACACGGTAGTTACATATATATATACCATGATCCAATTCTGTATAATTCATTCCCTTCTCAATAACACAACTCTCTCCAATTTTCAATCATTTTGTGACAACACGCATGCAAAATACCACGAATTTCTACCTTTAAGCCAAAATTAAAACATTTTTCATGGGTAATATTCCTAGTTCCTGGTAACTCATAAGATGTTGGTTACCATTTTCATTCCTAACAATCTCTCACTAAATGTTCAGGTATTTTCTCTATACCTGGTCATTTACGAAATACTCACACTTCTCTCGGATTCGATGTCTATTGATGAAAATCATGGCGATGTTTTACTATCGTCATAATGATCAGATTTCTTTGTGCGATATTAAACTGTACGCGTTTTATGCTCGTTAGTTTGCCTGTTGATTACGTTTTTATATACCTTGTTGTCATGTGAGAACGTGTCACTACCTGAATGGATTGACCAATATTAAAATGTCGGGTCTTCTCTCGTCTTACACTTCCAGAACACCTGGTCTTATTCCCCTTGTAATTTTTTCGGTGCCCCAGTTTTATTGAATTTCAGTTTGGATTGTGATGGTTTTTCTATTTTTGTTCCCGTAATTCAAAATACATGCCACGTTTCAAATTTCAAATACTACAAATTCCAAATTTGTTTAAAAAAAGATGGAAGTTATTTTGGGAAATTAACATTTCTCAGTAAAATGCGGTATATACATTACATTTCGGGATTGTAATTTATACAAATAAGAGGAAAGCTTCACCTTGTTTTAAAGTTTGTTCAAACTTTGTTACATTCAATTAGGTTTGTGCATTTAAAAAAGCACCTCCGTTTAATTTGTTAAATAAGTGCGAAATATTTATTTCTTCATACGGCCATTTTTTATCACAAACGTATAAATCGTATAAGCTAAGATTTACTCATCTTGATAGTATATCAGGTGTAATTACCCTTTGGACTTTTCGAATCTGTTAAACTTGGGAGTCTGATTGGTAATCGGAAACAGTATATCTAACTTTTGTTTGAAACAGACGGAAATAGAATTAAACAAAATGAGTAACCCAGTGATAGAAATATACATAAACCTTTCAAAATAAGGGTTACATCAATTTGAACTATAAGTCGATCTATGTACAGGCTAACAAGACTTTCTAAGAACGGTTGATGTTTCCAGAATTGGTCTCGTAAGAATCGTTTTATGGCAATCTGTTGGGGTGTGATTGTCATGAAACATTCGTGATCCTTTTCCCCTTAAAATGAAGATGTCTATAGATATACGGTCCTTAAATCGACGTTAACAGTATTGAAAAATGTTGAGACGGCGTTTAGAGCAGCGCTTGTAGCCATGCCAACCGTTTATTTTTGTTCCTCAGATGAAACTCGATATCATTGCTATTGTTATGGGATGGACCCTTCGACAAATCTGTACTACCAAGAAATATTAAAAACCAATCATTTCTATAGAAATTCTCCCATAAACATATCATTACAACAGATAAATATGATTTCGTGTTTAGGTCATATTTATAGCTCAATAAAATTTTAAAGACATTTTCCTGAAACTGGTCGTAGATATATCTAGTGGTGGACAACATGCGGCTAATATCATAAGCAAGTTATTCAGAAAACACCTGCGTTATTTGCCTTTATACTTTATACTATTCAACTACTTTTAAGTATTAGTTTAATTTAGAAGGCTTTGAGAAACTGTTTTTTTCTTTAAATCATTGTTGACATTGCCAAACAAAAAACAAAAAAAAAAAAAAAAAAAAAAAAAAAAAAAAAAAAAAAACCAAAAAAACAAAAAACAAAAAAAATCGCAGAGTCCAAAATATTATTTCAAAACGTATCGGATAAGACATGACTTGAAAAGAACAATTTCTGACCATGCAACATTTATTGTCGATCTTAATCTACTTCCTATAATATAGGTACACTATAAGACATGTTTGTACAACACTTACAATTTAACTTTAGCACCCTAGATTAAGTAAAGTTTCAGATGTTATTTCTCCGCTGGTAATTCATTCTTCCGTCTAAGGAAAAAAAGTTACACTTGAAAAAAAGCAGGACTATATGAAAATATTATGCTTGGTTGCCAAGCAATGAAATTAAAGAAATTTAATTTGCTCTAAAAATCTATCCCTACCTTTTATATTACCGATTGTAGGGTTACTGAACATTAACTTAAAGAAATAAACCTGTAGATTATAAGATAGATAATTCATACACTGTACATTAATTTACGAAGCCAAACAAAAATTATGGATGATGTATTTCATGAATAAAAATCAACAATATTATAAACTTTGGAAAGAGTTTTTATGTATCTAAATACTTCTAATGACGTCTCAATTTGAAGTACAAGTTATTCTGCAGGAAATCTTGACTGCATAACTAGATTTCAGTCAGAGACATGTTGCAGTCGTTAACGTCTACTCTCATTCCGAAGCAGCTATTATTGGGACCATTAAGCTACTCTCTGCACTCGTAATGTTACGATAAAGTCTTTAATAATGTTTAAAGGCTTACATATATCACCAACATCCGCGACTTTACACAATAATGAATACGTGCTTCAATTAGGTTTTTATGCCATGACGAATCTAAAAATAGAATTTCCATTAAATCTTAAAATATATTTTAAAAAACGTTGAAAAAAAAATTCTGTAAATTAATAACATTAGTAACGGCGAATTAACGCCATCATTTCAAGTTCGTTTAGATGAAGGCCCGTCACCTCAAAAAGAAAAAAGGACGCTAATGGAATAAAAAAATATATATCCGTCCAGCGGATAATGTGATCTTGTTGTTAGAGAGCCTGTAATGATCCATCAGTTAAGACTAGAGTGACAGATGACTTAAACACGTAACATACGTGACACTGGACGGAGGGGCGCCGACAGGATACATGATAAGTTGTTTAGTCACATCGCTTGTCGAAAAGACTTCTGTCGGAATATGAAAAGAAGCGATTTTTGAGAGTAAACGACGAGCAACCTGACACAACAAATAAGATGTCGCTGACATTTGCTTGCCGCTAGAATCTCATCTAATTCAGTGATCACAAAATATTTTTTCGGCATCAAATCAAACGGCAAACAAAACAAAAATAAAAAATTGAAACCCAACCTGTTGTCGTATTTCGGACACAAAGTTTTTCATGTAATGTTACATTCAGCCCTAACTGTTTTGTGTGAAAGTGTAATAATTGTTTTATGTTAATGCCCTTTGACCATATGAAAGGTTGTTGTGGTCCGTTTTTGTTTATAACATTGAAAAACATGGAACTGCACACACTGTGTGTGTTAACGGTAAATGGTAAACAGCAATTCCATCCACGGTAAGAAAAGAAGTCCTTCAATTCGAAAAGTTTGCCTTTTACTCCCCCATTCATTATAAAGTGGGAGGGTCTAAATCTAAAGAGGAACAAGAAGAAAAAACTGACGGATCATAAAGCACTGTTTTATTAAATTCATTGTTTTTTTCCTACTTCACAACATTTTAAACGATCGAACAGTAAACACGCACAATTCAGATGTCATGTGACATTTTGTGATGCAAATGCATAAACGCAACGGAGACATTATTTATTCATACAATTTTTTAAAGAAATTTTTCCAACAGACACAGTGAAAAACTGTTACATTTTCTGCAGAAGAATTTGCACAGCTCGCCTAACATGCGGTACCCTAAAACAATACACCAGGGGATTGATTGCCGAGTTCAAACAGCTGAATGTTATAAGTACGTGGCGTGTTGTTCGTTTGACCTTTGAAATGAGTCCGAGACCTTGGGCTAACAGTCCGAGGTTTAGAGGAGTAACACAGACAGTGTAGATGGCCGCAATGCTTAGAATGGTGACAATACCTCGAGTCTCTAGCCTCAATGCTTCCTCTTTTCGCATCCTTTGTCGACGCTCGTCTCGGCCTGCTGATGTAATACTATCCGGGTCTTGTTGAGGCTGTATTTTCTGGAATGCACGAAGTCTTTTCTGCAGAATTTTAATCATTGCAAAACAAACTCCCACAATAAGCGTGTGAACGACAAACGCGACTGTCCCTGTATAGAGGCAGAAGCTGGTGATGTCCTCAAGAAATAAATTGTCCAGTTCACATTTAAAGTCATGATCACCTGGTTTGGCAAATATCCAAAACGGCAGTGTCATTATACTACAAATGACTACCAAAGTTACTATGTTTATTGCAAGCATTCGATTCTGATAATTGCCTACGTATTTCCAATCTGGCCTGATCAGTAGTAACAATCTATCAAAACAGATTACAGTAACTTGCGTCTTCGAATTACAGTGTGACATTGCAAAAAACAGGAATACCGCATTACATCCCCAGTAGGAGATTCTGTGGCCAGGAAAGACATAGGTCAACAATATCGGGATCAACGAAATACCAACAAATGTATCGGTGAGACTCAGTGAGAAAAGGTGACTACTCCGAAAGTGCGGGAATTTCTGTTTGGCAAAAATGACCAAAGCAGCAGCTGGGATATTTACTATTAGGGTCCCTCCACTGATGACCAGGACACAAATAGTCAGCCAACCCGGTGCTATTTCCAGGACTGGAGAACCCGGAGGCATATCATTGGACTGGTTAACGGAGGAATTCATCAGATCCGTCAAAACACCTAAAGAAAAGCACAATATTAACAGGTAACACAATCTAATGATATAACAGTATAGACTTAGATGGCTATGACAATATATATTTTATTGTAACTAAAGAAAACTGGCAAAAGCTAAGCCCATGATTGTAAAGGATACCGATATCTCATTAAATCGATTACCAAGTGTAAAAGATGACGTAATAAATGATAAAATTGGAGACCCATGAAAAAAAAGAGACCAGGAGTCCCGAAAAAGGTAAGTGTGTCTTAATTTATCGATGACCCCCACTCCTCCCCCTAGGTCAGTCCTTGTGAGTAATGTTACTATTACACAAGTCCGAGCAACGTGGTCAGCATTGGGAGAAACACCCAGTGAGACCGATTTACAATGGGTACAATGTGGCTGTTATATGTATATATAGTGATATGGTATCTACTTAAGTATTTACAGTAGCACTGGTGCTTTCTTGGGTCAAATCTAACTAATATAGAGTCTAAAATACTTATTCAAAAATGATATAACCGGCACTTTTGTGTACATTGTATATTCTATTATCACCCTATCTGCTGCCATGTATAATAATAATACAGTTTTTTTATACGCACTGTAAACGGGTATACTGGGCTCCGTTTGATAAGATGTATGTTAATATGAAAGTCGAAACGACGGCTAAAACGTAAACAAAAACATTAAAAAAAATAAAATAAAATTCAGTTAGAAAATGTTGTACGAACCTGACAATAGGAGCAAGACTGACCGCCCTATCTTCCTCAGCACATCCACACCGATTATTGTCACTAGCTTATATTGTTAATGCCGTAACGGCACCGTGTTAACGATATCAATTGTTGTGCGTCATTAGAGATCGACAGGCAGATGTGTAGAGTACCTAGCATAATGGCACAATGTATCATACAAGTTCTTCATCAACTCTCATTTCTATACCACAATGTCAACATCTGTGTTGTACCTATGTTTCTTTGCTCCACATTTACTCCCATTTCTACATCACAATGTCGACATCTGTGTTGTACCTATGTTTCTTTGCTCCACATTTACTCCCATTTCTACATCACAATGTCGACATCTGTGTTGTACCAATGTTTCTTTGCTCCACATTTACTCCCATTTCTACATCACAATGTCGACATCTGTGTTGTACCAATGTTTCTTTGCTCCACATTTACTCCCATTTCTACATCACAATGTCGACATCTGTGTTGTACCAATGTTTCTTTGCTCCACATTTACTCCCATTTCTACATCACAATGTCGACATCTGTGTTGTACCAATGTTTCTTTGCTCCACATTTACTCCCATTTCTACATCACAATGTCGACATCTGTGTTGTACCTATGTTTCTTTGCTCCACATTTACTCCCATTTCTACATCACAATGTCGACATCTGTGTTGTACCAATGTTTCTTTGCTCCACATTTACTCCCATTTCTACATCACAATGTCGACATCTGTGTTGTACCTATGTTTCTTTGCTCCACATTTACTCCCATTTCTACATCACAATGTCGACATCTGTGTTGTACCAATGTTTCTTTGCTCCACATTTACTCCCATTTCTACATCACAATGTCGACATCTGTGTTGTACCAATGTTTCTTTGCTCCACAGTTATTCCCATTTCTACATCACAATGTCGTCATCTGTGTTGTACCAATGTTTCCTTATTCCACATTTACTCCCATTACTACACCAATATGTTGACATCCGTGTCGTACCAATGTCTCTTTGTTCCACATTTGCACACATTTCTAAACGACTATGTTGACATCTGTGTCCTGATAGTGTTCCCTGCTCCACAATTCCTCCCATTTTCTACCTTTTCTTTTGTGATTTTTCCAAAAAGATATTCACATAATCGTTCAGTTGTAAGGTCAGTTTAGAGGTAATGCAACGATGTTATATCTAATATTTTTTTATATGTTACGATTTTAGCTATTCATATCAAGTGACAGGTCATGGGTTTGGTAAAAGCGATAAGAGAGATATGAAACTTAACTGATTTTACAGTTGTACTTTTTCAGCGTTCAGTAAAGAAACATTTACAATATATACAGATAATTTTCCTATGAATTTCTTAATCTATTTATGAGGTCACTTTGGTGAACTGAATATGTTTTGGTCTTATTGTTGTTTGCTGGCGAGCGATTCTATCTATCCAGTTGCCCTTGTTGCACTAATATGGTAAAATGCCCAATTAATATAAGCGAAAAAGTCTCTGAATTCACTGACAAGCAGAATTAGATTCTTTGAAAATGAAACTCACAAAGTGAAAGAGAAAAACATTGAATTCGAGAAAAGTGCGGAAGTAACCAATGACTTATATGATGATATGAAAGCAACAACTATCAAAACAAATTGTGAGTCTAACAGAATGTTAATTAGATGATGTCGATAATTTTACTGTTAGTGAATAACGCACTTTCAGAGAGCTAAGTGCAAAGGTGGTGGCGTAGTTTGTGTATTTAAATAATGGTGTTAGGGTTATAATACACAAGAGACTATATAATCTAATGTCACTCACTGGAACATGATTCACAGTAAGCTCTCTTTAGATGTCTTGATCGCACGAACTTACTTACCTCCTGAAAGGTGATCTTTTTATGAAGTGTATGATGAAGATATTTTTGGTCTGGTTAAAATGGTATTGAAAGTTCACTACATAAGTTCATGTCATTGTAATGTGTGATCTAAACAGTAGAACTTGGAAACATACCCGACTATACCTGACTGATGTTCTTCGTCAAAGTATACATCATTTATTGACAATGTTGTTCCTTATGACAGAGAAGAAATAGCCATATATCTGAAGACTCTCAAGTTAACACACTGGTTCGTCGTCTTTCGCAATTATATTAAACAACATGTCATCGTATCTTAATTGACCGCACTTAAGACGATATACATGGTAAAATAACATTTTTATGACACCTTGGGCACCAGTGTGATTGATTATGCCTCTGTAATAATGTATACATGGTTGCTACTTTTGAAGTATCTTTAATGAATTTTCTGATCACGTACCGTTATTGCTTACAGTGAACTTAACGTCTAATAGTAGTCTTTGTTGTAACGGCTGAAATATAGGAGTATCGACAGTTATTTTGCTAATTTTGTAGAAAATGTTAATTTTTTGTTTGGTCGTTTGTGTTGTTATAGCAGAATAGTTATGAGCTGCAATTGTTCTTGCCACTAGTCCTCTTATAAATCTTGAGAGCAAGATAGAAGATAGATTGACGTAGAATGTAAACATTTGAATAATAACTATAAAACTGTACTTTATCAGTTTGATAAATGCAATACAGTAGAACATAGAGTTAATTTGATTACATAGAAATAGCAGTATCAATGTTAGAAAGCCGAAACGAAACGCAATTACCTTCACATGGAGGGTGATATAAGAGTTGCCTTTAGGCGTAATAACCGGAAGGCTTTTCATGGATTTTTTCATAACGGAAGTCTGGTGGTATCGGTGACTTATTACTTGACGATTTTATCGATTATTTCAAAGGTTCAGCTGATAATTCGGTTGATACGCCAGTATATATTGATAATAATGCATATGTTTACCCAGAGCTTGATGCAGAATTTAGTATCCATGAATCACTTCTTGCTATCAAAGATCTCTCTAAACGGAAGTCTGCTGGTAACGACTTAATCAGTATTTTTCAGCGAATTGTTAGCAAAGGTGTTCATGAACTTTTTTAACACTATTCTTACCGTAGGATATTTTTCCAAAGATTGGGCGAAGGAAGTCATAGTACCTTTATATAAGAAGGTCGATAAAGCAATGTTAACAATTATAGAAGTATTACTATTATTAGTCATGTAGCAAAGCTTTTTACTTCTCTTTTGAATAAGCGGTTATTGTCATGGAGCGAAATGTCATTTCCGACGCCCCGTTTTGATTTCGGCTTAGCTGTGGCTCTAAAGATGCCATTTTGGTTTTAAATTTTTTCATAACAAAAGCTTTACAAAGTAATAAGGGGCTGTATTGTGTATTTGTTGATTATTGAAAGGCATATAATATCATATCCCTAAACATGCTATGGCTGAAATTATGGGAAGCTGGAGTTAGGGGTCGTTTGTTGGATATCATTAAATCTAAGTATGATGATAAATCTTGTGTTAAAGTAAATTGTACGGTATCTACAATGAACGACATCCATGTCGGGTTATTAAATGAGGAATCCTTATCCCCAATGTTTATTAACTCTTATTGCCAAAGTTGTCAGTTACAGTTGATCAATTTGTTCACTCTAATGCATGCTGATGATACCGGTCTCCAAAACATACTAGATTTTTATAACTCGTATTATGTACAATGGAATTTAGACATTTATCTGGACAAAACTAAGATTGTTGTATTCAGGAAAAATACACGCATGTATCCTAACGAACGGTGAACTTAAAATAGTATGCCAATTTAACTGGTTGATCGAATTTGTTATCTTGGTAAAGTTTTTAACTATAGTGGCAAATGTACTGTTGCTTTAAATACCTTTGCTGCTCAAGGCAGGAAAGATTATTTCCTAAACAGAAAAGTTAAGATTCATGTTAAGCTGCGAAACTAAATTATCACTATTTGATACATATATTACATATTTATGCGTGGGAAGTTTTTGAATTTGGTCATCCACCTTAGGTAGAGTAGGTGGATTTATAGGTTTTTTTGTTTTTGTTTTAAATGTGCTTAAAATGTTAAAAAGACGGTGAATTCTTCTATGGTCTACTCTGAGCTGAGTCACTTTCCTTTAATAATAAGTCGTAAGATTGCTGTTATAAAATATTAACTTTACTTGTTGAACACTGATAATTGCATTTTAAAATCATGTTATAACAAACTTGAGGAGTTGAGTGTAAACCTAGTTGTAAGATAAATTTTATGTGTCATGTCAAACAGGAGCTAAGTAGCTCGGGGTTTTATGGTGCAGGATTGTCTAAGTATATCCCTAACGGGTACATAATGTTTTTATCCAAGAGATGATAACTCGTCTAAGTGTATGTTATATAAAGCATGCTATTTGTGAACAAAATCTTATGATTTATATTGTAAAAAATATGTTTTAAATTCTACATCTAATAATGTTTAATAATGCAAAAATTTATTTTATATACAATATCTTATGATTTGTATATAAAAACCAGTGATTATGTACGTTATACTTATTCAATATCTTGCGATTGTGATTGTGATTGGTACTTTTTTTGTAAAAACTTAAATTATATGTTATTTATTATCTTTCAAATGTCTTGTGATTTGATTTGTAAAACCTCTAATCATATACCACTATTCAATATCCTGTGATGATTTGTACTCAATATCCTGTGATTTGTATTGTAAATCCTGTAATAATGTATTGTACACACACACACATATATATATATATTCAAGACCTGATAATTTGTGTTTTGTTATTGCGTGATTTACAATATACTGGACCTGTCTGACATTACTGAATGGTTGGCCTTTAACCTATATGCGATATAATGTTACGGGTCTAACATAACCGAATGATTGACCTTTAACCTATATGCGATATAATGTTACAGTGGCTGTGTAATAAACACAAGGTGATTATCAGTTAATGAAGGTGTCATCAAGTCAACGTTTATTCTCTAAATTTCACACTTCAATAGGTACCAAGTAATTAATGACGGATAATTAACAGCTTAACAGAATGGACAGCATTATAGTTAAGAACGAGTTTTCATGGCTAAACAACATCATTCGTTTTAATGCCGTACATATCAGTAATATTAACTGTATTGCATATGAATGATATGTCCTTTAATGAAACTCCTCATTTTTTCAAAAATCGTTCAAACAATTTATTGGATAATTATGTAACATAAAATTGTTCATAGAAAATCGAAAAGGAAATATGTATGATAATTTAAAATAATCCATTATCAGGAATCTTGCCCATGTAGAAGATGGTAAAAGGTCTTGATTTTCAAAATGAATGGCGAATGTTCATATAAATCGGTGAAAAATGTTTTAAAAGTCGGGAAGGGAAGAAAGATGACTCTGCCAAAAGGTAAAGGAAACAGCGATTTAAGTATGTTGTAAGTCTTAGGTAGTGCAAAACATCACGTTATGAACATAGAATATCATATCGAAACCCTAACTTGTGAGTTTGCCTGTCAGTTGCCGACGCCTTGAACAAAAAATCGTGATATTGGGAACAGATCTTTGACTATGGAATTAACTGTAAATGTAAACAGTAAAGGATGCAGGGAGGTTGAAAACTGACCATATGTATAACCAAAGAAAGTTATATCATCACTTGAAAAGTTATATCATCACTGGAATAATTATATCATTACATATCATGATATAAGATTTCTTTTATCACCACTGTAGTGATGATATAACTTTTCATCAAATTGATAAATTCCAACATTTTAGTGGCAAGAAATTTAACAAACACATGCACACCAAAGTACTTAGGACACAGACGGCAGAAAGATGATTGATATGAATGCTGTATACGCTGTAAATGTTGTACTAACTAAAGAGTTTAAACATCGTTTTAAACAGAAAAAAATGTAAGAGTTACAAGGATTTTGAATATTCATGAAATATTCATTAAAGCGTAAAGATGAAATGCTGTTAATATCTTGGCATTTGCGAAGACCTGTGCAATTTTGATGCTGGTGGCGCTAAAATAACAAACAGTTAACCAAGGTAATATGAATGACTATGTGGAAAATATGTATCAAGTTTGTCTATAGCATAGTACGTGTAATGGGTCTATTTTCTTGTCACCTGATCTGATCATAGTATGAATACAACCCTAGGTCGTAGGTTAACTGAGCCTTTCGTTTGCAACCATTCATTGACTTTTCACATTTTTATTTTCTACTCAATGACCACTGAGCCGATTAAAACCAAACGTAGTCACTGTCATCAATACCCGCTGCTAATTCTCTGGGGTTTACGTCAGGCTCATATGCAGTGAAAACATCTTCTTGTAAATATCTCTCATTGAGGAAAAAAATATGTAAAAGTACTTAATATGGTTGTGATGTCAAAGAATACCTCAAGCAAAATAATCAGATTTGTAGTCTCCTGGTGTACCATTAAGCATCGAGGGAGTTATTTCTAAACGAAACCAAAATACTGCTACACCAATAAAATTCCAGTGCTTTTGAAAACCGTCAACTTTTCGATAGGTACATGCTGGCAATGTATGGTTTCTCCTGTTAAAATTTTTAGGAAGCCCGGCTTCCCCGAGAAAAATACCTGTCGATTTGATTTGAACTGTCTGCCTTTTCTTATTTTGACATTATCAAAGATCACAGAAAGGTTTTGTTTTTGCCACCAAACAGTCTTTATTAAGATAATATAACAATCATATAACTGACTCATTCATTACTTGTTTTGAGTAATACGATAACAATGTCAAATCAATATCAACGATTTTCTATCAATCATCCTGTGCTAAAACTACAAGGGATCAAAGATGTTCATACTGTAGGCAGTTTCTAGGAACATCTCCTTTTTATTTGGATTGTGGATGGACGTATATTTACATCTACATTACTGTACATGGTTTACATGATGAATAATAAGGATTTTTTTTCGCAGAATGAAAATGTAATACTGAAAAAAAATCCTTGACCCTTGCTTTCTATTTCATCAGTACCAACAATGAGTAAATGAAGTATGCACGATACATGCATATTTATTAAATTGTAAATATATGGCAAGTGTAATGTGTGGATTACTGATAGAAGAACTTAATAAGACTAGGCTTCTTTATATTTCGAAGGGCGTTAAGAAATAATTCTACAAATTATAGCCTTTAATACACTTAATTGACAACAAATAGACAGTCTTTAGAAAAAAACACGAATTTCGTGACAGTGTTTCCTCTGTTCCTGCATGCATGTTACACATGTCTATAATAAAGTCTAATTCTTATGTAAGATGCAGGGAAAACAAAAAGCGTGCTACCAATATTTAAATGTACAACATATCAACTATTCATTGTAAGAGCCATCGGCTAAATTATGTGCTTAATGTTACTTGCAATTCTTTGATGTTTTGGAATCACGATTAGTAATCCTAGGTCAATGTCGTCAAATCACAAGAATAGGTTGTTGAAATATCTATCGATATTTCGTGAATTTGTGACAAAATTGATATACAAATGTTTCTCAAAATTTTCATTGGACTAAACACTATTTTTGTCTATTTTTACCGTTATCAATTTGTTCATTTTTGAAAAAAGGACGAAAAAACGGTGAAATATTCCGACGAGTGCATGTAGAGTATTTGCCGTTTGTTGATGTCAGGAAAAATAAACATGGTTATGATTTTATGGTTATGCAGTGTTAGGTTCAAGATATAAAAAAAATATAAAGATATAACGTGAAAAAAAATCAAAAGCGTATTGATAATTTTGATCTTGAGATAATAATATTATCTTGTAGTCCGGGACCAAGTGATAATGAGTCCATGCCAGTTATTTGTGTACGGCGGACGAGAAGAGATAGGAGAATGAGTAGAAATAGAAAAATAGGGAGCGATGGGGAAGAATAGGTTACAGAAGTGAGGTAGAGAAGGGACGTCTATGCTACCTGTCCTGTCTAAGAGTCATTTGTGTCAAAAATGTCCTTCAATGATATATGATATATTTTTTGTAAAGCTTATTTAGATATTTAAATGAACGTCAACATTAAGTATATCAAAAGTAATTAATAAGTCTGTCTGATCTAAAATTATTTTTGTAATATGCCGACGTTTTGTTCCGAAAAAGAAAAATGTGTACTGTCTAATAAATGAATAAATATAAATAAGTAAGAGAAAAAAAATAAATAGATAAATAAAGCACAGAAAATTTGTTGTTAAAATGAAATAAAAATAAGAAAGAGGGCAATCTGATAATTATGTTAATTATGTCTTTTCTACCACATAATTCTAGCGCGAGGAGATATCGGCGCTACCGTAAGCTAAAGGGAACTTTAAACTCATTCTTTCTTGAGGAAATTGAGAGCTCGGGGCACCACATGTTGCATGAAGGTATAGTATACAGGATGCATTTATGGAAAAAAAAGGACTGGTATGCCATACCGTGAGGTAATACACAAAAATATTACACAGGTATATTCACTGAAAATCCATGCTTTATTTCAACCCTATACATTAAGCACATATAATTTGAATGACCAGCTTTTCCCTTTATTAAATCAATTCAAAATGTGGACATACATTTTATATTTTAATATGAGCCAGGTAAAGACTTCCTTTCTAACATGCTGGAAAAAGAAAACAAATGCCAAATGTTCTCACACTTTCTTGCTTGCTACTATTTATCATTTCATGAATAGTCCTGTGGCAATCATCGTTTTCACTTTTTATTTATCTATAATTTTCCTTTAACCATCCTTCCAAAATGTTAAAAAATCAAGAATACCAACATATTGACAAAATCGTAAAAAATCTTAATAAGGAAACGAGGTCAGAACATGAACAAAAGAAAATTTAAGGGTAAGGTAGACGTCTTCTGCAGGATGATGATTTTAAAAAATAACTGTATAGTGCGAATTTGATTAAATTGTATTGAATAACACATGCGTATTATCGTGAAGACATTGGACATCCAGTTATTATTATGATCCGTAACATGGGTTCTGAGTCGAATAACACCTGCAGTCTTCGTTACAACAGGTGTCTGTAAAGGTCTACTGAACCTACGTTGCCGAAAATCTAACCTGTACATGATGCTGTTATTTACAAAGAGAGGCAAGTTTTACACCTTCTTGACTGCAATAAACTTACTACTTTTTGTGAACTTTCTTTAATCCAATTCTTCATTTCATTAACTCTGAAACAATAGATTATGGGATTGATAGCTGAATTCAGGCATCCGAGAATAATGAAAACATGTCGAGGAGTTCTACCAATTTTCCCTAACAGAGACAAACCTTGCAGCAAAAATCCGAGATGTAATGGCGTAACACAAATTGTATACAAAGATACAATGATGGATATGGTGATGATGCCCCGCATTTCAAGCGTCAGTTGTTGATCCTCTTTCACGTTCCTGGTACTCGATGGTACAGTGTTGATAGTGGACACAGAGGTCATTGTTGTACCAGGGTCGTAACGCCCCCTGTACAACCGCCGCATCTGTAGGATTGCCACCATTGACAGGCAGCATCCGATGATCATGATTTGTAGGCTCCAGCACAAAATTCCTACGTAAAGACAGAAGTAACCAAGATTTACAGAGAACAAATTGTCCAATTCACAAATAATTCTCTCTTCTGGTGTAGCAAATACCACAAAAGGCGTGATGGTGATGGCGGACGTGATGAACAATGTCAGCAATATAATTCCAAACATGCGTCTACCGTAGTTCACTGTACATCGCATGGATGGTCTCAACAGCAGAAGAAGTCTGTGTACACAAATAGTGGTCACCTGGGACATAGAATTGAGATAGCTGATACCAAAACACATAAAACAAGAATTGCACATCCAGAAGGACATGTGGCCATCAGGAAACATATACGTCCAAAGGATAGGAAACATACATATCGCAACAGCTGTATCAGTTATACTTAAACTCAACAGGTGCATATTCCTAAAGTTCGAATTCTTTATTTTTGTCGCCATAACGACCAGCATTGCTGGTATATTGAGTAGGATAGTCGCTGTGCTGACGGTGAACACGGACACGATCACCCATGTCGGTGCAGTATCAACGTCATAAGTGGAATTCGGAAATGTAGAGTTGATCATCTCCATCTTCATCGGCTCTGTAAAAATCGACAAATCTACAAAGTGATACTTGGGTGACTAGTTGCTAATAAAGGTTCTTAAGCTGTTGACCACTTCTGTTTAAATGGAAAACAAATTCAAAATAGGGGAAACATACTTTCGTATTTTCTGTAATAACAGAACTCTGTATGATTTAATCTATTTTGGAAACAACAGGAATCAGGAATGCTTCACTAAAATTGCATCGCAATTTGATATTTGTTTTTCTGAAAGATTGGATGCGTGTTACCTTGATACCTTCCTTCCACATATTCCTTTATAAATCAATCAATACTCTTCACAGAAAAATGAATTTCATCTGATACGCTATGGGAATGACGTCAAAAGAAATGCAATGGTATAAGAAATGTAATCTAATAATTCCTTAATTAAATGCAACTGATTCCATCATGTAAAGGCGAAGACTATCCATTTTATTCACAAACAGAAAATAATATGGGTAAAATGAATGATATCAAATACCAAAATTATGAAGTTTGTTCATGACTTGGTGATAGACATTCTGGTATAGGAGTGACGATATATTTGGTATGGTTAAATTAAATCCGAGCTACAGAACACGTCACGATTAATGGGACGTATTGCATTTTTCCTTGGGAGTGGCCATTGTTAAACGTATAAGAAATATAACGTTAAGTATTTCTCAGTAAATATGCCAAGGACCATACAACGTTACAGCACACAGATCAATATGATAAAAAGCGAAACACAATAAACATTATCCACATGAACAGAAGATATAATACAGAAGGCACGCTGAACAAACGACTGAAAAAAAAACCTCTAATGAATGAAAAAGGGTTGATAATTCAATACAATGGAAAAGACATAATTTACAGTGGAAACAAAAGGAACTGACATGACAACAGAAAAAATAGAAAAAAGGAGACACAAAAAATGTAACGAACATCTTTAATAAAATGAAGAGTTATTTTAGTCCTCGATAGTTACATATATAGACAACGTCAAGTGAAAATTGTGACTACATCAACAACAAGAAATACCTCTATGTCAACATAATCATAATCCAAACCCAAATTAAATACAACTAGTACAAAATATGAAGCAAAGAAAGATTTACACGGAGGCACTCCTGGAAAAGTACAAGGAGAATAAGACCAGGTGTTCCGGAAAAGTTAGCGTCTGCTTCATCGACGACCCCGCCATGTAAACCTTGGTCAGTCATAGTGAATGATGCAATTTCTCAGATGACAATAAGAAAAACGATATTAGAACCATTAGGCATACCAACGAGCATGAAGCACGTCCAATGATGTATCGCACAAGGACGTAAAATATTTGCCCATGAGATCATTATGATGACCTTCAAACGCTTTATCAACTGTATTTATCGAAACTATGTCTTGTGAATTTTTCTGTCAGTTGGTGGAATCAAATCAACTGCGACATGTAAACATTAAGGCTGTGGATACAGGAACAGATGTTCGTTTGTTGTCTTGGTAAAGGAGCAGATTGCCTCGAGAATTCGACAATTCACTTGTCCGTACTGTCATTATTACATCATTGATCATGTATCTATTCCAGTAATGCGCATCCAACGGATATTTGTTTGTTAGGATCAAGTGCCAATATTGGACCATACCGTCGATATAACTTACTAGAATATATATACATTTCTAACTACATATATCTAAGTATACTTTTACAGCTACATATTTCTAAGTACAGTTTTACAGCAACATTTATCAAGTATATATTTACACCTACAAACCTCTAAGTATATATCTAAATCTACATATTTCTTAGTTGATATTAACATCTGCATATCTCATCGTATGTATTTACATTTACATCTACCTGTTTATATATATGAATAGATTATGACATCTATATTAAGGTAAGTTTATATTCATTGCTGCAATTCTCTGAGTACATATTTACAGCTACATATATTCAAGTTTATATTTACTGCTACATGGACTTAAGTACATATTCAAAGTTGCACATATCCAGTCATATATTTACAGTTTCATACATATAAATACATATTAAAATCTAGATAACGTTAAGTTTATATTTTTAACTACAAATACCAAGGTATATTTTTATTGCTTCATATATTCAAACATATATATTCCTAGTTACATGTGTATTAGTATATATGATATTGTGTAAAATCAATTTTATCAATAAATTCACTTTGCAATATTTACACAAGCGAAAAGCTAAACTTAGAGATCAGTTAAATCACCATTAGTTGTGGATGAAATTGAGTTTTCTTTTTCCCTCGTTATCTCTGTTAAAGGTTAATTCATTGATTGAGATAACGGTAAGATAACAAGATGTAACGGTGGTTAAAATGGGATAAAATTCCTGCTTGAACTTTTAATTTTATATTCATAAGCTAACATCCCGCGTTGTTTCACATGAATTGTAACCGTGAAAAACGTTCAAGCCAATTCGCCTTTTTTGCAGCACATGTTTTGTTTTAAATCATAAAACAAAATTCTCAATAAGATATAATGTTATCGTCAGTTTGATAAATTTGATTGTTTACTTATCCTTCCTGTACTTGGCACATCTGATGAATATTCATTAAACATGCATGCAAAGCAACAAAACTGCAGTTATGGCTTAATCCTTTTCAAATGTTTAACTGTATCTTCAAACGTAGTGATAGTTTACAACAACCATGAAAACAACAATAATAAATTCAAAGCAATTTTAAACAAAACAATATCAAAATAATTATATCAATAAATTGATAATAAAACATTTGATATCTTTTTTATCAAAATGGTCTTGTTATTAATTTAAAAGTCATTTCATTTCGTCGTTCCCGAATAAAATAAACATTTTGATATGGATAAGAAAGAATATCATTATCCTATGTGATATCAAACAAGACTTACCACGATCACCGAGGAGGCAATCCAAGCAGTACTAACGATATTAGATGTACTTGCAGTACACAGGGTATTCATCGACAAGAATCCACACCGTTATTCATCTGTTATTATTTAAAAGCTCGATAAGGTCTATTGTGTATCACCGGTACTGATATTGATTTGATAACAAAGTAAAGATACAAATTTTCCCAGGTGATATTCCAAGCAGATAGCTGTTAATTAACAAATAATATAACGATGATGTTCTCTTAATGAATATACGTCAAAACTACATGTCATATTCATACCGGCCAGGATGCTATAACGGGGATCGTTCCTTCAATTAAGGATATTGGAAACTTGATGAAATTAACAGGTAGCTGAAATTGTGTTTGCAGGAAACTTAGCAAATCGGTACTTCACAATACTTCAATTTCAAACACAGAGGTTCAAAATATGGAGGTTGACAAAAATTATGGGTCGCCATAGTGATCTCATTGATATCTATTTCTTTGTGCAACATGTAGCTGGACTTGTTTGATGCTCGTTAGCTTACCTGTTGATTCTGTTGTTGTATACCATGTTCTCATTTGAGAACGTGACATTATTTACTTGGATTGACCAAGATTTATATGGCGGATGTTGTCGATGAAGCAGAAAACGCTTACTCTTCAACAACACCTGGTCATATTCTCCTTGTACTTTTCAGGAGTCTCCGTGTAAATCATTCTATTGTCAATATTTTGTTATAGTTTTATTGAATGTGAGTTTGGATTATGATTATGTTGTCATAATGGTATTTGATTGATGTTTTTTTTAAAGAAATACAACATATTAAACAATACCGACTGTATTGATGTATCTCTCATTATAGATTAGCAGATATATACGCATCAAGTGTTCATTATATTACAATGACATATTGTTAATCCGTTGACAGTTGCTTACGCTATTGCAATGTGGTAATGTTGGCATAGAAATCAAGTACATAAAGATAGTGTAATGGGTGTGTTTCCGAACTTCATCATGGTGTGAATACAACACCAGGACGCTCAACATAGACATGTAAGGTTTAATGAGCCTTTTGTCCGTTATGCGTTGTACATCGTCCATTTACAGTTCACATTCTTAGCTTCTTCTCAAGAACAGCCGAGCCGATTCAAAACAAACATAGCACTTGATATATGCACAAGTTGTAGATCACCTGGTCAAAGGCAAATGTCATCAACACTTCTCTAAAAACATAAAACAGCGGTAGAGTTTAATTTCATTTTAGTTTAGATTATGATTATGTTGACATGTTGGTATTTTCTTCTTGTTGAAGTAGCACCCTTATCTATAGATGAACTTATCGATGTCTACCTTTTGTTTTATCTTCTCTTTTTATTTTTGTTTTTATTAAATTTTATTTCTTTGTCCTAGTTTTATTGAATGTAAATTTGGACATGATTATGTTGACATGTTGGTGTTTTCTGAACAGTGAACATGAAAGACAATATCATTGTTGTTAATTGGGTCTGATAATGACGGATTTCTTAGATCCTACACTGGAAATAAACTTTAGTCAGATATCCAATGGAAGAATTCAAAATAATCTTTATTGTATTGTAGAAGGAGCAAAATGTAAATTTTTGTGTTTAATATGAAAAAAAAAACAAATATATAATTTCATATTTCAAATGTAGAAAAAAAAATACTATCGAGTATAAGTTACATTGACGTGCATCTGATTACAATGATGTCATCGAGTCATGTGTAGCAATTGTGATATATTGTGCCATTCATTATATTTGGAAGACTCCTCTCGGAGTTTTGTTCTCTCTTTAAATAAGTATACGCCCGAGAATAGATATCTAGCAGTCCGGCCAAAAATAAAACAGCGAATAAGTTATAAGCAGGACAACTTGATAACATCTTTCTTTTTTTTAATGCACAGGAAATTGTTGTAAGATTATTTCATTTGTTCAAACATTTAAGTCCGTCATTACCTATTTCTATCAGAAGCATCCTGACATAGTTAAGTTAAAATAATGCATTTTTACATTTGTTCTCGTACTCTCTTCGTTGTAAATCACCTACATGTGTATCTCTCTTTTTATCGCGTTTTGTGTGAATATCACAGAAATGCAAACAAAGTAGCATTTTCACACCGGAAACATTTATGCAAGTATCGCTGGTCTTTGGAAACTAAATGGAAATCTAGATATCCTTCATTGGGTCTGTATCCTGGCACAGTTGTTCTTTTTTCATTTCTGGCATATTGATATATAAGTTTTACAACTACTTAATGGACTGAAATTATCTATCTAGTGTGGCAGATGTACCATGGAAATATGAATCGAATAGTATTTGGTTATACTCAAACTTATAAAATAATAACTGTTGTCTGTCAGAGAATGACCAAATATAACGTGTTATAGAAACTGAGACGAGATACCCTTCAACTTATTGATAAAAAAAGTCATGACGCTGTTTACAATATACTCACTTCAGCAGCGGCAACAATGCCGTAAATACTCTATCTCTGGTTATGATATGTCTAACTATTGTCTTCTTAGAAACGCACCTCGTCGGTCCTTTTTTTAACAATTGTTGAGCATCCCTATAGGGCAGTCATGACAATTTCATTTAATTTCCACTTCTAAATTCGTTTTAATGATTAAATATGTTGTTTTTTTGTAAAATATATAACATGATACATCGTATACTTATTAAACCCGATGGTCTGTTGAATTATATAGTTTAGCAATGAAGCAATTTCAAAGAAAAGACGGGACATAGGAGTAATTCTGTGAAGAATGTTGAACAATAGTCGTCATTTAACAAAATGTCTATGGTCATCTTTTCGAAAAAAATGTCATTATACGTGTTTGTCATGCCTTTTTCCGTTTGTTTAATGATTCTTTTAATGTCATCCGAATCTCTAAATGTATGTATGCAATTTTGTATCTTTTTTTTCTTGCTGCTTGTGAAAAACAATGACTTGATCATATAATGATACCAACTTCAGCTTAATGCCTATATACCTGAAAAAAAAATTTATGCTTTCAATTGTGCTCGTTAAGCTTAAAAATAATAAACAAAAACAAGAATATGCAGAACCCGTTGGCAAGGAAAATACACGCGAATTTCTACACGCGAAGTACGATTACTATTGCGTTCATAGCAGAAAAGATACAAAACTGCTCAACGGTACTAAATATGTTTTTTTAAAGACTGTAGAGAATGGCAGTTCCTCTGTTTCCAGAAAGCTACACTTATAATATTTCTTGTGTAGAATGGTGGCTACAAACCACAAAATAAAAACGTTTTTTTAACTAATGACATCTCATGATAAGTCGAAGAAATAACGTGAAATGAGGTATCCACGAAAGATTTTATACTAGAAATAATGTCTTATGATTAAACCACGAAAGAAAGAGCCCACAAATATTTCATGTTATGCAGTATGTAATCGGGGTCGAATTTTCGATATCACATGCTTTCAATCGTCCAGGCTTAATAAAATATTCTATTGAATGCTGACATTACTCGCCATACCATCTTATTAGTTTTTACATCAACCTGATTTCAGTTTCCTATATTTGGTTAAACCTTATATCTCAATAATGAGACAATACATGATAAAAACAGATAAAACTCAAGAGTGCTATTGTTATCTTAATCATTTTATTCAATATAAGATAAATTAAAATGTTGGCACAAACAGTTTTCTCCATATTCGTTCCAAAGTAACAATCTATTCCATAATAAAATGTGTTTATGACACATTACAATATATATATACTACAATTCAGGTCCAACATGTTTTCTCTGTATAGAAAAATTAAAAGGAATATAAAATATAGAATGTGTAATTCGCGATAGTTTGACATTTGTGCGGACCTTGTCTCATCATAAGGCACATAATGTAACTATTACAAAGACACATGTGTAACCATTGTATAAATGTTGTTTTTAATGTTTACGATTTAAACGGTCCCTACAAATTATAAAATAATTTTCAGAAAATATGTAAATTTTATCTAGTCAAGTATGTATTAAAAATGTGTTCGCTGAAAATATGTCTAAATATTCAATATCTTTCAACCAACAGTTTGGGTTTCAACAGATTTTTAAACAGGATAAGGTTCGAAATAGAATTTCTAACATAGGGTAAATAGTCATTAAAGACATTCAAGTATGCAAGTGCGTGTTTTTCAGCAATACCTATCGCCAATAAAAAGTTATATGTTGTATTTCAGATGGAGCTTCAATAAAGTAATGAAAGCGTAACGCTGAAATGGAATTCCGTCATTAATTATATAGCGATGAGACATTCACCCTGGGTGTTTAGAGGTGGTAAACGATGGCTTAACAATAGATTAACAAAGCTAATGGTTTCACCATGGTAACCTTGGGCAGTTTCATATTATATCAATGCCACATCATATACGTTTTATTACATTATGCAATTACCAAGCTCGCATTCAAAGATCACAACGACTGGGAAAGGGAAGACTATGATCATATAGTCAATAAAGCGACGATGCCCTCACGTACACTGTTATTAGACAGTGTTATGAGAAAAAGTACGGTCATTAAGGGAAAGAGTGTAGCGTGTCACTGCGGAGCATTAGCAGCTACGTTTGTACACTTGTATAATAAAGAACGTAGTTTACACATTTTACATAAAAATATGTTTTATTATACTAATTATGCTAAATACCTCATGTTAACATATCCAAACTATTTTGTTACAATGCTCCATTAATAAAATAACAGAGTATGCATTATTTTGTTCGGCTTTGGAAAATTGAATAACCTAAAAATAACACTAGGTGGCATTTTTAACACTGATACCTTCCAAACGCACCAGAGAAAAAAAGCAGTGCTACCCTATGTCCATCCTTGAAAGTAAGATATTTCCTCAAGTGTTTACGAAACTCAAAGATGGGGATGCTTAATCCAATAGCAGTGGGTTGGGAGGATCGAAAGTCGTGTCATAATATTGTTGTTACGGAATTGTAATGTTAGGTATGATCACCAATAGAATTGTGATGTCGAAAACATGTTACATTGTCAACCAAAGTTGTACACAGTGTACACAGCCAGGCGGTCGATTCACTAACACTAGTCTGTAGAGGCATTTAATATGACAAAAAAGGAGGGGGTGGGGGTTGGGGGATGGGGGTGGGGGTGGGTGAATAGCATAAGCGGCTCCGAATATCCAAATATTTAATGAACATTAAATGTAGAGCGCTCAAACATGAGAAATGATATATGATTTGTATCATTTGAGTTGTTGATAAAAAATCGATTTTTAAATCAGTTTCAAGAAAGAAAAGAAGAGAATCACATTGTTTTGTGTTACTTCTGGTCCATAACTTACGATATGAAACTGGCCTTTTGTGTAAAAATGGTCAATAGGAGAAAAGTTAGTCACTGTGTTTGTGAACAAGTACAGACACTCTAAATCATACCCAAGTTTCTTGACTGATTGATAATCATAATTATTTCAGCCTAACAAAAGCAGTAATGGTGCCTGGTCATCACATCCATATTCAAGGTACATCTATATCTTTGAGTTTTAGAAAACCTGTAAGATAATATCATAAAGTGAGAAAACCGATCTCATGATATTTGCATTACTATCTGCGAAATTTAATGTACCTGAGGAATATTTTTATGGGTAATGTATTTCCATACGAAAGTGTGCTCCTTGTCGGACAAAGTCTGTATGACTAGCACTTTGTTTAGGTTGTGGTCTATGAGAGACAAATGTACATCCTCGCAAGACACAGTCCTTGGAAATCAATTCTGACCACAATTCTTCAACAGTTCAAAGTTCATTACAAAATACAGAAATTCCTCTGCCAAGGAATATTAATCCCATTACACCTGACTACTGACAGAACTCGTTGTTCTGACACTGTTCCATCAGACTGTACTACTAGTCGATTCTTCAAAGTCGTAGGAATGATCAGGATCATGCGATGATGATGTTGCTGGGAAGAAATTTGTTGCTATTTGAATGTTCTCTTCGCTGTACTCAGCGTCATCCTCATCTGCGTCACGTATAACCTGGATCTGAACCTCGTCATCCTGACATGTGTTAATATCTGTAAAATTGTCAATGTCCTGAAACTCATACTTGGCCTTCTTCCTGTGGATAAAAATGAAACACACTGTGAGTACAAATATTAAGATGATCTGGTGCCGTGGACTTCCCGAATATACATGGTAAAATATATCTCAAACAACAATGTTCCACTCTGTGGTGATATAGGTATTTAAATTATGAAATATTTCTCAAAATGAAATATTCATATTTTCTTCATGTTTAACTATTATTTCCTAATTCAAAGACGAACAAAGAATGATTTTGCAATAAAAAAAAAATAAAATATTGTTAGTTAACCTGATGAGAAAGATTTCAGTTTATACAAAATTAATCAATTCCTGTGTGGAAATATCATTTTCAAAAACAAACCTCTGCTGACACTGGACATTGACTCAGGTTTCGTGTAAACTACATACATGTATTATTCTCAAGGACAACACTAACAAATAATATTATCATGACTGTAAAATATTATTCACAATATATCCGTGTGTTACTCAACACTCGGGATCAAGGTCACCTTGTATATTATCTGGCTATGGTTTTCAATGCGAGATTTGTTTTGACATAAGACGTAAGTGAGTATAAAACTGGAGGTAAATATCTAACCTATGTTAAGTTTACACGGAAAAGAGAATTCAAGCTGAAAGGTGGCAGTCATTGTTCATTATGCCTTCACGAAATCGAATCTTGTCAATAAAGAATGTAAGAATAAGGAAAAATAGTTAAATATTATCATTGCAACTCATTTCTACTAAGAATGAAATTAATGTACTGTTATATTCTAGCTTTGTACATGAAATATTGTTTAATCATTACATGAAATATTGCTAATAAGACCAAGCATTCCTTCGTGAATTCTTTTCAACACTGGATTTATTAAGTTACAAGACGGGTGCATTTTGACGGGCAGATATGTCAAAATTCAGAATTGTTGAGAAGGTATCTTTTTACTTTCAAAAACCCTTGTTTTGAAGAATATATCTTAGTAACAAAACGTAAATCATGTAAGATCTCTATTGTGAGGAATTATTTAGGAACATTAATGCTCAGTGTGCACGCCTTCCTTACCATAAACTTGTGGTACTGAATATATCACTTGTAAGAAAGTAGCTTCTAAGATAAAATGAAAATTGATAAACCAGTGAGGTCAGGGACTTCAAAACTGACTAGTGAAAATTTAGTTGTTTTGTCTAGTTTGGTGGTAAGATCTTGAGAAATGGTGAAAATTTAGTTGTTTTGTGTAGTTTGGTGGTAAGATCTTGAGAAACGATGAAAATTTAGTTGTTCTGTCTAGTTTGCTGGTTAGATCTTGGGAAATGGTGAAAATTTAGTTGTTCTGTCTAGTTTGCTGGTTAGATCTTGGGAAATGGTGAAAATTTAGTTGTTTTGTCTGATTTGGTGGTAAGATCTTGAGAAAAGGTGAAAATTTAGTTGTTTTGTCTAGTTTGGTGGTAAGATCTTGAGAAACGGTGAAAATTTAGTTTTGTCTGGTTTGGTGGTAAGATCTCGAGAAACGGTGAAAATTTAGTTGTTTTGTCTGGTTTGGTGGTAAGATCTCGAGAAACCATGAAAATTTAGTTGTTTTGTCTGGTTTGGTGGTAAGATCTTGAGAAACGGTGAAAATTTAGTTGGTGAAAATTTAGTTGTTTTGTCTGGTTTGGTGGTAAGATCTTGAGAAACGGTGAAAATTTAGTTGTTCTGTCTAGTTTGGTGGTAAGATCTTGAGAAATGGTGAAAATTTAGTTGTTTTATCTAGTTTGGTGGTAAGATCTTGAGAAACGGTGAAAATTTAGTTGTTTTGTCTAGTTTGGTGGTTAGATCTTGAGAAACGGTGAAAATTTAGTTGTTCTGTCTAGTTTGGTGGTAAGATCTTCCATGGTGAAAATTTAGTTGTTTTATCTAGTTTGGTGGTAACTTGACGGTGAAAATTTAGTTGTTTTATCTAGTTTGGTGGTAAGATCTTGAGAAACGGTGAAAATTTAGTTGTTTTGTCTAGTTTGGTGGTAAGATCTTGAGAAACGGTGAAAATTTAGTTGTTTTGTCTAGTTTGGTGGTTAGATCTTGAGAAACGGTGAAAATTTAGTTGTTTTGTCTAGTTTGGTGGTTAGATCTTGAGAAATGGTGAAAATTTAGTTGTTTTATCTAGTTTGGTGGTAAGATCTTGAAAAATGGTGAAAATTTAGTTGTTTTGTCTAGTTTGGTGGTAAGATCTTCAGAAATGGTGAAAATTTAGTTGTTTTGTCTAGTTTGGTGGTAAGATCTGAACAGGCGAGGACAAACTGTGCTCCTTCTTGACTGGCTTAGTTTTTGTTTCGATACGAGACTAAATTTATGAAAGAGCATATCAAAACGAGTTTCATAGATCTTGAGAAGTTCTTCAATTTTATTTTCAGAAATATTGATGTCAAGTCTTTTTGTAAATGTATAGAGAGATTCCATCGTATATACCCGCCATGGTTGGAAATCAACAGACCTGTCTGTATCAGTTGCGCGCTGTTTCCCTTCAAGGAAACAAACAGGGACATCTTTCAAACATAGTGCATGATAAGCATGATGATTTCAATTGACACTATTTACTTGGATAGACTAGGACTTACATGGGTGGTGTCACCAATGAAGCATATGACTCCTACTCTTCTGTGAAATCTCATCTTATTACCATTGTACTTTTTAAGTAGTCTAATATTTCTTCCATTCATTTTAGCGTTAGATTCATCAAATTAAATTTTTTTTTATTGGAAACAAAAATTGTACAAAGGGCAACTGCGGCAATTCTGCAATTAAGGGGTTGTAGCCTCTTTATTTGGTACAAAGCACATAACCTTAATACGAAAAATGATTACACCAAGGTTTATAAGTCTATCCTAATTCAAATGCAAGCAACGTAACGCTCCATATACAAAATTGTAACATAGGGCATTTAGAGGTTGTAAGGCATGACTTTGGTATACTGCAGATTGTCCTAGAATGATCATGCAATCAGGGTAAGTTATGCTGTCGACATTACAAATTAAACAGACAAATCCCCATGCACTTGGGCAACAAATTGTTAAGATTTTTTTCTGGATATTAATATCACACGTGCAACAACATTAAAAATCAAAATGTGACTGAAAAAAAATTGTTACTGGCAAAATATCTTTACCTGAGTCTATCACTAAAATTATAAAATAAATATTGTCACTGTCAGTACAAAGTTTGATTAAGAAATCATATCAGTGCGCATGCTTTTTTATAAACTTCTATTTTTTTTGAAGTTAAAAGACAAAGATTCTGAAATCGTTCTCCACGTTAACTCAACACCAAAGAGGGGAATAAAAAGCAAAAGTACCAACTACCTGGTCGAAACACATACCATATAACCAGTCTAAAAAACATAGAATGACAGAGAAAGCTAACACCACAGAAAAACAAAGAAAAAGAAGTAAGCAGCAAAATCTCACCTAAACGTGAAAGCGCTCAACATGCTAGCAGACTGCCGAGACTACTGAAGCCAACACACAATATCTAGAAATCTGAAGCTTTCAAAAAGCACACTAAATTCTAATGGACCTCTAACCCTTCCATGAAAAATATCACAACACACCACTATAGTAACACACTAGACATACAATCCTTACAGAATACATCACACACTACCATAGTTACACACTGGACATACAACCCTTACAGGATACATCACACACCACACCACCAGAGTTACGCACTGGACATACACCCCTTACAGGATACAACACACCACCAGAGTTACACACTGGACATACAACCCTTACAGGATACATCACACAACACACCACCAGAGTTACACACTGGACATACACCCCTTACAGGATACAACACACCACCAGAGTTACACACTGGACATACAACCCTTACAGGATACATCACACACCACCAGAGTTACACACAGGGCATACAACCCTTACAGGATACATCACACAACACACCACCAGAGTTACACACTGGACATACAACCCTTACAGGATACATCACACACTGCCATAGTTATACACTGGACATACAACCCTTACAGGATACAACACACAACACACCACCAGAGTTACACACTGGACATACAACCCTTACAGGATACATCACACAACACACCACCAGAGTTACACACTGGACATACAACCCTTACAGGATACATCACACAACACACCACCAGAGTTACACACTGGACATACAATCCTTACAGGATACATCACACACCACACCGCCAGAGTTACACACTGGACATACAACCCTTACAGGATACATCACACAACACACCACCAGAGTTACACACTGGACATACAACCCTTACAGGATACATCACACAACACACCACCAGAGTTACACACTGGACATACAACCCTTACAGGATACATCACACACTGCCATAGTTATACACTGGACATACAACCCTTACAGGATACATCACACAACACACCTTCAGAGTTACACACTGGACATACAACCCTTACAGGATACATCACACAACACACCACCAGAGTTACACACTGGACATACAACCCTTACAGGATACATCACACAACACACCACCAGAGTTACACACTGGACATACAACCCTTACAGGATACATCACACAACACACCACCAGAGTTACACACTGGACATACAACCCTTACAGGATACATCACACAACACACCACCAGAGTTACACACTGGACATACAACCCTTACAGGATACATCACACAACACACCACCAGAGTTACACACTGGACATACAACCCTTACAGGATACATCACACAACACACCACCAGAGTTACACACTGGACATACACCCCTTACAGGATACATCACACAACACACCACCAGAGTTACACACTGGACATACAACCCTTACAGGATATATCACACAAAACACCACCAGAGTTACACACTGGACATACAACCCTTACAGGATACATCACACAACACACCACCAGAGTTACACACTGGACATACAACCCTTACAGGATATATCACACAAAACACCACCAGAGTTACACACTGGACATACAACCCTTACAGGATATATCACACAAAACACCACCAGAGTTACACACTGGACATACAACCCTTACAGGATACAACACACCACCAGAGTTACACACTGGACATACAACCCTTACAGGATACATCACACAACACACCACCAGAGTTACACACTGGACATACAACCCTTACAGGATATATCACACAAAACACCACCAGAGTTACACACTGGACATACAACCCTTACAGGATACATCACACAACACACCACCAGAGTTACACACTGGACATACAACCCTTACAGGATACATCACACAACACACCACCAGAGTTACACACTGGACATACAACCCTTACAGGATACATCACACAACACACCACCAGAGTTACACACTGGACATACAACCCTTACAGGATACATCACACACCACACCGCCAGAGTTACACACTGGACATACAACCCTTACAGGATATATCACACAAAACACCACCAGAGTTACACACTGGACATACACCCCTTACAGGATACAACACACCACCAGAGTTACACACTGGACATACAACCCTTACAGGATACATCACACAACACACCACCAGAGTTACACACTGGACATACAACCCTTACAGGATATATCACACAACACACCACCAGAGTTACACACTGGACATACAACCCTTACAGGATATATCACACAACACACCACCAGAGTTACACACTGGACATACAACCTTTACAGGATACAACACACCACCAGAGTTACACACTGGACATACAACCCTTACAGGATACATCACACAACACACCACCAGAGTTACACACTGGACATACACCCCTTACAGGATACAACACACCACCAGAGTTACACACTGGACATACAACCCTTACAGGATACATCACACAACACACCACCAGAGTTACACACTGGACATACAACCCTTACAGGATACATCACACAACACACCACCAGAGTTACACACTGGACATACACCCCTTACAGGATACATCACACAACATACCACCAGAGTTACACACAGGACATACAACCCTTACAGGATACATCACACAACACACCACCAGAGTTACACACTGGACATACAACCCTTACAGGATATATCACACCTTCAGAGTTACACACTGGACATACAACCCTTACAGGATACATCACACAACACACCACCAGAGTTACACACTGGACATACAACCCTTACAGGATACATCACACACCACCATAGTTATACACTGGATATACAACCCTTACAGGATACATCACACAACACAGTCCTTTCATTCAATGTCCTCACTATTACAAAGGTCAGACTTATTTAATAAATTCACACCGTTTAATATTGCTGCATATGTTGACATTCATTATCTGATACATCACCATTCAAAATATATCATTGATGAAGTAAAAACTATTTTTTTTTTGAAACAGAATATTTCCTTCTGATATATAAGTGCTCTCTTTCTGCAGATTGAAAAATAGGTAGGTTGACAGTCAATGATATATTAGATGTATTATGAGATATATGAGATTCAAATGGTGAGGTAACAGATTAAGACCTTCTGACGTTTGTCTACACAGGCAGGAGATTAATACTGATATAAAAACTGATTAAATCTCTATTACATCTAATACATACGAATTCAACATTTGAGGAGTCTTCAGCAGCAGGCCTTTACAAAGGACGCAAAATGAAATAACAGAATAATCAATAAAAGCTCAAGTTTTTCAACTTACATTTGCCAGGAAGATGGACATATTGCTAATCATAAATACAAAATGCCGTTTATCAGTGGAGGGGTATGGAAAGGAAGCTATTTATGGCAAAGACAGAAAATGAAAATGCATGCTGAATGCACCAAGAAGCAAATTTTGATATTTTTACCAAGGGACAAGAAATCATGCAAATTATTCTTAATTCCATGAAGCTGATATTAAATTACTTTCATTTTGAAATTATGGAAGGTATGACTCACATTTACCAAAATATCTTAACTAAACTCAAAAGTCAACCTTAAACAAAAGACTAGGCTGCTGGTATTCTAAAACCTTCAACTTAATATGTAAATGAGGCAAAAGATGAATAAATATGCTGATCAATTTTCTTACCTCTTTCTCCCGAAGAAGTTCTTGATGGACTGTTTGAAAGCAGTACCTGGCTTTTTCTTTAGCTTGGAAATGTCCTCACTTGATTTTGACATAGGGTCTCTTGGGGACATTGGAGCCCTGTCCTTCTTCACCCGGTTTGGCGTATAAAGAGGAATCTTTGTGTCTTTAGCTGTCATCTTTGTGGGGCTAACTGGAGGGGACGGAAACTTGGTCCCCGCTGTCATCTGTTCGAGATTCGGCTGACTGAGTCTTCCCAACACCACTGGTAGCTTCTTGGGCGCTCTCTCCACACTGGCTGACCCACGACGACCTCTTATGGTAGGAATGTGAGTGTTCTCGGCATTATTAGGAGACAGACTGTTTCGTTGAGACTGTTGGGCCACTGGTAATGAGGTTCGCTTTACAGCATTATTGCTATCAACACTACTTACTTTCAATTCATTTCTGTTTATATCTGAGAAACTTGTTCGTAACTTAGTAGGTATTTGTTGTTTTGGTATGTCATCCTCTGATGGTTTTTCAGCAGGAACAACATATTTTCTAGCTCGATCTAATGTATTACTACTACTTGTGTTGATACTATCAGTCTGCAAGTCGATTGGCAGACCACTGGGATGAGAGTGGCGAGGGTCATCACTATTGTCATTGATAACATGGATTACACTGTCGCCCACCAACTCCCCTTGCTCATAACTATTCAGTACCTGACCCAGTTTTACAGAGTTAACTCCCCTTGCAGGTTTCCTTGGCTCTAGTCGCTGACTCCTGTTTGACATATCCACCCTTTCTGCTGCCCGAGGTGTCTCATCTAACTGTTCCTTACTGCTAACTTCTGAGTTTGATAACATATTCACTGATCCTTGTCGACCATGAGGGACCAGGTGTACATGGTCATGACTGGAGTTAGAATCCTCCTCCTCTGTAGAAATCTGATCACCAAGACTTAGGGCCAACGATGCTGCCAGTTGTTCCCCACTCATCCCCTTGGGAGCTACATCCCTCTGTCGGGATAAATGTAGGCCACTGTCTGTTGAAACAAAGTTCATATCATTTCTCATTGCATTTGTGTCTAGAGACCTTGACTTTTGTGATGTCACAATGTCACGAGGACTTTGTTGATAGCTTTCCTCCTCATCGTCATCCCCAAATATCCCATAATCCTCCTCTTGCTGTTGTACTTCCTGCCCATAGTTTGCGTTCCTGTGATTGTGTTGGTGATAACTTTCTCTTGCCTCAGATGAGTGAACAGAACTGACATCTAGTGGTTGAAAGTGGTTTGAAGACCTATCATACCGATCATTTTCCAGCGCATCGGAACGATCTCGCTCTGCCATGAGACGTTGAAGGGACAGATGAAGTTCACTGCGACTTTTTCCATCACTCTTGTGTTCCCTTGGGGTACTTAACTGTGGGGGATGAAAAGAGACCTGTTCCATCATTCTATTTCTTCTTTCTGACTCACCACCAGTGAAATCTATAGATGAAGCTGGTCGATTTGTTCGCAGTCTTCTGCTTGCAGCATGAGAGCGTGGAATGTCAGTTTCATTGAAAGTGTCCTGTCTAGGTGTACTGTTATATGGTAGGTGAGGTGTCAACGGCCTCAAGTAGTTTGAATTAGAGCTTACAGAACTTTTCTGACTGTCTGGTCTCCTCCTGATCTTGATCTTACGAGGAGGTTTCTCGGGACTTTTGGGTGGATCTCGTGTCTGCTGAATTTTGGTCATCGATGAGTACATTTTGTTTGCAGATTGGTATGGCGCATATGATGGTAGGTCTCGGGTTCCTCCTCCCACAAACTCTGTGAGTTCATGTGTTGTAAGGTCAGGGTGGCTTCCGTACCCTAAAGTGTGGGCACGAACAGGGATTGCCGATCTTGGTCTCTCTCTTATTTCATTCAGACTATCTGCAGCCTCTCTCTCACGGCGATCTCGTAACACCTGCAAGACATACCTGTCAAACAAATGAGAGCAAATATCAGTAAAGAAATATCTCCAGTAACACGGTACAAACAGCAGTTAAAACAATAACTTATATGCAAAAAATATCTATTTAGCAATATGTTTTTATAATTGGAAAAAATATGTAAACAAAGCATCCAAATGTGATTAAATATACAATAAACAACAATGTTATATTTGTTTTTTTTTACACTTGATATGAAACAATATCTTTGTTATTAGTGAAAGAAGCTACAGGTATACTAAGGACAATAATGCAACTACAGAAATATTTTAAATACAAAAGCATGCATGTAAAAAGCAAATAATCAGAATGCTAGTGAGTTATCTCCCTTAAACCAGTCCCGGAGAACTTGATATTAAATTCTCTGGTGTATAGTACTAGTACCTCCTTGTCGTGTTCGGAGAGGCAGGCTGTCGGAGTAAGTTATCTTCCCCGTTGGAATGTATACCACTGTCTCTAGCACTGGACACTTGGTTTGCTTCGCAACTACTGCCACTCGAACGAGATCGTATGGAATTTCCATAGTCACGGGACCTGAATATTAATTGATAGGAATTCTAAAATCAACAGGACCTGTTTGTAAAGTTAAATTGCCAATTCTTATGTATTATAATGAGACTTCTTGTGTAGGTAAGAGACCTGTCATGTACATATGATAAAAATCTCAAAAATTACATATCAGACTTTTTGCCTTGGCGGTGTGAATGGAGAAGAATATATATGTAGTGATTAAACTTATCCTGTAGATTAATTCACAAAGCCTTACACTGTATGGAGGAGGTAATGTGGCATCTAATACCAGTGTACATCATAAAGTCTATTTATGATATATTATAGGAAGTACATGAGCGGAGAAATAAGTTTGGTGTATGAGAAAACTTGCACCATAGTATGCCTGTTTCTACATTTAACCATTTAAAAATACAAAAAAAATATAGGGAAGGTGACAGATTGAAGATGATAGATATACTTTTAGTATTTAAAATGAAGTTTAAAACTGGGTTAAAATGAAGAGTTTTATAAAAGGACAAATATAAACCCTTGGTTCAATGTTTTCCTGTATCATGAGGTATAATCTTTATAGACAGTCGAGTTACCGGGTAAAATACTGATTTACATCTGTCACTAGAAACAAGAGCAAAACTCTACTGAAGCAGTCTAACTGGTTACCGTAACTCAATCAAATATCATTTCAGAATTTTACACAGATCTACGACTGACTCAAATAACTTTCTGAGAATTTCAGACCACAAAAAAAAAAAATATATATATTAACAGATAAGACCTCCTTGATTTATTTTTAGTATAACTTAAGAAACTTGACATCTTCTGAAATGTATTGAAATGATTTACAGCATGTATGTAATATCATAATAATAAATCTCTACAGTCATGGCTGACAAAGGTAGTGTTATTTGATAAAAAACAAAAATGTATTGCATCATAATGCAATATTATGCATGACTGCGTTATTCCCTAGAATCATGACGTGTGTGTTTTCTTGTACAGAAATAACATTCATTATATTGTACGAGACATCAGACGTGACATTTCAGCAGTAGAAAGACTCAGTTGACATTAATCATGGAGGCCTTGCTGTACAGATTAAACGAACTCTCCAGGTATAAAAATAAAGATAGTCTAAACACGAATATTAGTAACTAACAAATATAAGTCATACCGATCCATTGGAACCTTGTTGACATTCATGAACTGCATGGCATGCTCAAGGTCATTGTTCATCATGCCGAGGAAACTCTTGAGCCGAGTTAGAGCAGTGTCTAGGTAATATCGGTCTGGATGGTCAGGTCCAGTGTGTTTGAGCATGTTCTGTGATCAGAAAAGACGAATTCTCTCACAACAACTCACCGACACAAAGTTGTCTTTTAAAATAGGATCATTTATATAAATCTGGATCCCAACAAGGTTTTTATTCAACTTATTTTTTTTTTCTTACTGTCATTTTTTTTAACTTATTGAAATTTTATAACGAAAAATAGATTCAAAGTTATCACCTTAATAATCAATGTGTTAAAACTTCACGCTTGAATTAAAAAGTCCTTCGATTTTATTCAACAACCATCTCCAAACTCTGGCCTGAACAATAAGTGGACGACGACAAAGAGGCTCTGACAAATTTAAATTTTGAATATTTCAGATGTAAATAAAAGGGAGATAACTCTGCTTACTTTGATGAGAAGTGAGTATTTTGGAATCTGTTGAAGGGGAGCCAACAGCAGAGGAATCACACTGGAGGTAGCTAAGCTGGAGCTCTGTAACAAGTAACAATAGTTTATCAACCACTACAGATAGTAGTATTTAAGACTTCAAATTCATCCTCTGTAAAACTGAACTATATTCAAGGACGGCACAGACTGTGACAGTCAGACAGATGAACAGACTGGAAACCAAAATACTAGACTTCTGTATGTTTCCTTTGTGTAGAAAGATGTGGAATATAGATCACACCGAACTGTTCTTCCTACTGGACGAAATATTGTGCTAAAATATGATTGTGCTAATTTATGTTTCTTTTTGCTGCTAAACTGTAATTATCCTGTATGTGCGAATTAATCAATGCTCCTATCAGTATATGTTAAAAAGTTGTAATGCCGTAAAATTTCGCTGCGCCAAATCAAGTATGTTGCAAGTATGTATCTGCATAAAGTACTGTGTGAAGGAATTTCTGCATGTAACCAAAATTAATGGTAATTAATGAACTAGTACTACAGTAAGCTACTATATCTAAATCTGTCCTGTTTCTAGAACTAACTCTGCCATTCCTGAAACGATATTTTCTTGTCACCTATGTGACATTTTGTTGTCTAGCAAGAAATTTATCGAGAACAGGTAATTGTACTGACCCCCATGATATCTCTGAAGCGAGTCGACTGTGTGAACCAGTAGTTGATGTTACTGATCACGGTTGGGAAATCATTGATGTAGTCCTTGTAGACAGACAGACCCTCCCCCTGTAAAGATAAACTGGCACTTTAATCACATAAACAGAATAACTCACAAAGAGGCTGTACAATCATCGAAAAAACTCAAATCTGTACAAGAAAATGTTTTTAAATTTTAAATTTACATCTAAAAAAATTCAATTAAAAAAACTATATATGCTAGATCTAAATTAATTAATAATTAGTAATTAATACATATAACAGGATTAAGAACAGAATATGACCAACTGAAGAAACATCAGTGTTACATATACAAGGAGATCATCTTACCTCTTGTGCATCTGTAAACTTTACAAACACATCCCCGATAAGGCCTGTGTATTTCCACTTGAGCATCCGTTCCTCCATCTTTCGAAGCATGATGCAGTGCTGTTCGTAGAGATGTGGAAGGTAGGATGGAAAGACGGTGCTGAGATCTCTCTGTGTCATGAGCTCCTCCTGGCGGATGGGCCTGATAACGGCATCAATTAGGGTCCATAACTGTGAGCAGTACGACCTCTCGGCACTAATGGCCTCCTGGGCACACTTCTCCCTCTGAACTACAAATGGTTGGTTACAAATGTTACAGGCCTCATGTTTACTGATATGTGGTATTGCAAACTGCAGATGATAGCATTAACAATTCATTTGTTTGAATTCCTAAATTAAGACTAATGTTTCTGCACTGATGGTATACTAGACGGTGACACCGTTATAGGTTTCACATCTGGAAGAATCTTGTACACTGAAACAAGTCCAATAAGACCGAAAATGTCCCCATATTTCTTAAAATCGATATTTTTACTTAGATTATAGATTTCTGAAGCAAAACCTAAAATTCACTCCACATATCATTAACCTTTAGATTGTCCCATCCAGCCAGATATATGAAAAAAAAATTTCTACATCTTTTCCTAGAATCTGAAATTCCTCCTAATGGCCGTATACATACAGCATTTTAATACATTCAGTCTTGACTAAACATAACACTAACATTAGTTGTATTGATATAGGCGTATATATAGTCAAGCTTTAAAATCCTGACAAACTTCAATCTACATACAAACAGCCACACAGACAGATGGACAGCTGGGATTTCAATCTCATATGCCCACCTACACATTCTTTATGATATGGTGTATATATAGTCATAACCAGATTTCCCCATTAGTTGGCCTCATATATATCTGTATACGATCAACTAAGAAATAACGACAATGAATTGTTGAATTTTTGAGGCAATCCTTTAAGTTGATGGACACCGAAGGCTCTGTCTAGGGGCAAAAACATCTTAAGATGTTGTATGAAAGATGGTGATTCAATTATCAAAAGTTGTTTTATAGAAATTTTAGTACATTGTGTAAGATAGCCACTGAGCTTATATGTGATTGCGGAGGAAAACAATTTCAGCGTGGACGTTGGGTTTATCCTTTTTTACCGTTAGTTTACTTAGGAGGCTATCTATCAAAAAATTGTCTGATATAACTTATTTGATTATATATAAACACAAGATTGTCAACATATCTGAAGGTTTTACAAACTGAACATAAACATGTACACAGTGTCAAGTTAGCATGTATATAACCATCATATCATCATACCAGTGTCAAGTTAGCATGTATATAACCATCGTATCATCATACCTTCTTCCAGCACTTTTTCATGAGGAGGGATTTTCTTAGAAAAGTGTGCTTTGGCCTCGGAAAGGTCTGCTTGGTGAGAAAGGAGGAAAATAAGGATAGGGGGAAAATTTAAACAAGAAGGATGAAATGATAACAAAATTTGGAACACTAATCCAGACATAACCAAATACTTACACAAACAGCCGACACGTTCAGTAAAATTTACACTTATTTATTGTACATTTACTGTATCAAATACAGTCTTGTGACAAAAAAAATAAATTCTACAATTAAAGTGATTATGATTACAGATGCATCAAACAATTTTTGAAACTGAAGATATGGATCTAATAAAAAGTATTATTTTAGAAAAAAAAAAAAAAAAAAAAATTACCCCTAAAAAGTGGAAATCTTTGAGAGCTGATGTTTTATGTTTGGAAAGAACAACTTTTTTTCTCTTTTAGAATTGTGGGAGTGTCTTGATAAACTGAAGTTTTATTGAACATCTCAAAACACTTTATAGGATTTTTAACATAAGACATCTTTGCTCTTTCATTAGCATTAGTAATGTCTGGATTTTGAGAATCAAAGAAATTCAGAAAATTTTTTTTGGTGAAAGGATAAAGATTTTGTGAAATTAAACATTAAATGATACATCATGCAATAAAATGCTGAACAACAGAAGGAACATAATAAAACAAATAAAATGATAAATATGAATCCCACAGGCATATAATGTAATACATTATGTAAATCGCATTTGTGTCTTGAATGATACAATTAATTAAATAAAATGTGGTCATTTATCATTTAGGGAAGTCCATATTTATATTATTGAAGTGCATGAAAATGTAATGAAAATACCGTGTGAAAAGTGATGGTATTTATACATCATTAACCAATACTTACGACCATTGTCTGCAGTGAGTAACCCCAGTCTTGCATTCTGTAAATGTAAAATATTTTATCGGTTTAGAACCAATGAGAATAAAATTTCCGACAAATCAGATAAAAATGTACTTTCAGACTTTCAGTGAATTCTAGAATTTTCTGTAATTATCTCCCTTACACTGCAGAGTTTCTTAGCTGAGCTCTTTCATTTGGTTTTTTTTCTGTAATTATCTCCCTTACACTGCACAGTTTCTTAGCTGAGTGACACACTTTCATTAGAATTTTTTCTGTAATTATCTCCCTTGTACTGTTCTGTACAGGCTATACCGTACATACATCAACCATGATTATTTCTTCTCTTTACCTTCACTGTGATAAACCTATATAGAATATCTAATTCAAGAAAAATGTCCCACATTTAAATGCTTTTTATAGCTTCGAATAGCACTAGAAAGCATTGTGAACCTATCAGAAATAGAGCTCAGGTCTCAGAAATGAGTTATATCAAATATATAACAGGTTGTAAAATGCAATCAATACATCAGTGTGTATGAACCAAGATCTAATATATTAGCCTGAGGTTTTACCTGGGCATGGCGTATTGTGTCGTCATCATCACTGGAGGCAGACAAATCGAGATGTAAGCACTTCTCGTGTAAAGCCTGCGACAGGTTTAGACTTTTACAAGCCAGGGCCGTCACTGACTGGGCATCGGAGTCTTCACCTAAGGATTACAAAACACTGTCAAACACCTCCAAAAAATTTTTTTTTTTTAAATTATGTGAGTTATTTCCTCTTGATTACACAGGGGCATGCCTAAATTATTTACTACAATTTAAAACTGATAAGCAGATCAACAGATAAATTAATCCTTAATGAAATTTTGAAAAAAGGATGATGTTGCTTTGCCAAAAGCCTTATGTCAGTATACAGCATTATAATGAATACCTATCCTTATTTCCTTTCTTTACTTACTACTTAAATCTTTTTTTTATTTACACTTAACAAGTGCTTCAAATACATGTTAGAGAAAACAAACCAACAAACAACATATAATTTACATATACAAGGAAGTAAGGGTGGACTGGAGAGGGGGGGACACATCACTACCTAGTACTTACTATTGTCTTGTGTGAGGCTGGCTAGGTAAGGGTGGACTTGGGGGGGGGACACGTAACTACTTATCTTTGTCCTGTGTGAGGCTGGCGAGGTAAGGTTGGACTGAGGGGGCACACAACTACTTACCTTTGTCCTGTGTGAGGCTGGCGAGGTAAGGTTGGACTGAGGGGGCACACAATTACTTACCTTTGTCCTGTATGAGGCTGGCGAGGTAAGGTTGGACTGAGGGGGCACATAACTACTTACCTTTGTCCTGTGTGAGGCTGGCGAGGTAAGGGTGGACTGAGGGGACACATAACTACTTACCTATGTCCTGTGTGAGGCTGGCGAGGTAAGGGTGGACTGAGGGGACACATAACTACTTACCTTTGTCCTGTGTAAGGCTGGCGAGGTGAGGCTGGTGAGGTGAGGGTGGACTGAGGGAGCACATAACTACTTACCTTTGTCCTGTGTGAGGCTGGCGAGGTAAGGGTGGACTAGAGGGGACACATCCTTGGGTTGGAGATCACTGCCCCTTTTATCTGTCTGTACCTGGTATCTAAAGAATAAAACTTCTCTATATCAATATCATAAACCTTTTAAATCATTTGTTTATATTTGTTATCAACATCTTAATACATCAATCATCAACCATTTAAAGTCTTTCATTTCTCAATCTTTCCCATGAAAAAACCCCTGGAAAAATTTGAAAATTGCCCTACTCGAACAAATCTAAACCAACAACAGGATTTTTTGTAATAAAAATGGAGAATTAATTATCAAGTTTACCATGACTAGTTGTAAGTAACTGTTATAAGTATATATATGTCCCCCCATTCACAGTGAAATCTAACAATAACAAAGTCAGATTACTCTTTAATTAAAGGTCTGAATAGTCAACATGATATATAATTTGATTTCTTTAACTTCAAAGTTTTATGAATATATCTCAATGTGGAAACATAGAATCAAGTTATCGCCTGATTTGGATGTCTTTATCTCATACTTCTAGTGTGAATTGAGAATCTTATACATTACAGTATAGACCGAGAGTAAGAGACTACAGAATACTGATATCCTTTATCACAGTTACCCGTAACTCAGTTATAGATACCTGGCCTGGTCAGTGACGATTCCCATGTTTTGTAATTCCTCCAGGAATGCCTCTTTGTCAAACGGTTTGACATTGTCCACTTTGGCCTCCAGTGACCTTTGAGCTTCTGACACACCCTTTAACTGACCAGACAGATTCTCTATTTCAGTCTGAAAAAAAAAAAAAATTCAAAATCTTCAGACAAGCAAAGTGCTTGAATATTTAGAGAACTTTAAATAATTTCTGGTTAAGCTCTGAATGTATTTCATACAGAACATCAAAATATTTCAATTATATCATGTCGAAGATCTTTAACATGTAGTTTTTTTTATATCTGTCATTATGTGATAAACTGAAATATTCAGAAGTTTCATTTACATCTAGAAAGTGTTTATTTGATCACACAAGATCTTAAGCTGCAAGTCCTGTTATTATATAACTTTCTGTTCGGGCTGACTACTCATGGTAAGATTATGAAGATGGCAGCCATCAGTGGTTACCATTTTGCAAGTGACACAGGTCCAATTTAAGTTAGGACCATTTGTAGACGTACATAACTCATTATCAGAAGTCAGTTCTCTGTATCTTTAGTTATTTTTAAAAAGCACTGATTAAAAGACATTATTCACAGACGGACTGGCGGATGTGGGACCACACCCGATGACATAGAACTACTGTACTTGTGTAAAACATATCGCCGTGGTAACAATTGCTACCTTTGATATTTAAGTGAAGATGTAAATGATGGGCAAATGAGAAAAAAAAAATCTGCACCTGATACAGCTTCTGTGATAAACTCTTTACAACAAATTATTCTGACTGAACCAGACATTTCTCATGTGCCAGTAATGACAACGGGAAAACCCATACAAGACCATGACTCAGCAATGATTTACATATTAGCATTAAAAATATTTACAAAAACAGGATGAATATCACCAGCGCAATTTTCAAGTGCAATATAACAACGATATTAGAAATGACATTTTCTACACTCTATTTCACTCCAAAAAAATTACTGCCATCTCATCATATACACCCAGGTTGTGACTTCTCCCGACAATTTTATGGTGATATTTGTGTGAACACAGAGATACAGACCATAAAGCAGTATTATAGTAAATATATAGACTATGAGCCATGAGTTGATGGCTATCAGTATTAACAGGTACCTGGGTATAACATTACATTAACCTACAGTAATAACAAGATAATCCATTATTTAAACTTTTCTATTGTATAAATGTCATACCTATTTCACCTGTATTAAAATATTTGTATTTAAGGAACAGGATAAGAAGATTGGGGGAAATTTAAACCTCGATACAAAACTGAACTCTGTTGTACGTCGAACACAGAGAATAACTATTCAGAGAAAAACTGATTAAGAATTCAAAGTTATATACGGGTGTTTTTAAAAATTCATTGAATCCGACACAGTTTAACCTTCACTTCACTGTCCTGTTTACTTTTAACCTTGAAGTGATACACTGTGCTCTTTTTTTCTTGCCATTATAAATAGATTTTTTTAACACGTACCTAGCACTTTCTGTGAAATAGGAGCACGTAATCAGAACAGGGAAAGAAAACAAATCAGTCTTGAAAGATCTAACAAAGATGCCCTCCAGATGTCCTTCCCAACAGGTGTGACAAGGTGTAGGACTTATATCGTGCACAAGGATGCACGAAGTGGTGAAAGATATATATTTTTTATGCTTTGATCCATTAGAATCATGATCTTGGCTACAGCAACCTGCCGCCCTCCCCTTGTCCACTCATAACTTGACCAAGGACAGTGTTAAAGAATACATGGTCCCTGTCTTAAAATGTATACTGTATTTTGGCAAGGGTGTTGAAAGACAAAAATGACAAGACACTTTTTGCTGAGCCAAAATGCAGCTTTCTTGTAATTTTTAAGTAACTTCAGAAAGTAATTCTGTCAAATTAACGCAGGTGCAAAAATGTTCAGGAGTTTTCCGTCAACCCGGAACAAAGGCAGCGCCAGTTGCAGGATAAATGTATGTAATTGATTTCAATATGCCTATGGGTATACATACACCTGGTAATACATACAATGTACATAGTGTCAGTGTGAAGTTCGGAGAAGGTTGTGTCATCGAATACTCATATACACAACTATTTTGATAAAAAAACCATTATGTCTCAATCAGGTTCACATTCCACTTGTCAAATATCCTCCTCTGTTTGATATCTATATAGTCTCAGTTTGTGGACAAACCTTTTTTAACTCAAGTGGCTACCGTAGTAAAATCGATTATAATCGCAGAATATCCTAACATCTTAATAACAAAAATCTTCAGAGATATGAACAGGGCTGCTTGTCATCACATTTCCTCTATTTCATAGGTTTCCAAAGATAAAATTGTATCTTGATATTGAGGGTGTGTGAGAAAAATCACATTTCTCATACATCTCTGACGTTACACTTTTACATTAAAGAATAAAAGACAAAAGAGTTCTTTTTTTTTTCAAAACTGGTTGTTTTCGTAAGATATTAATCACAAGATAAACTGTTGGTGAACCCTACTTGACATCTACTACTCTAATGTATTTGCTGTGTTGTAATCCTGTAACTTACTGACGACGCCTTCAGATCTAACTGTGATAGGAAACACAAGGTATATATCAATTTTGTTGACAAAAGTACCTTACTGTGCCTATTGAACTACAGACCTACAAATAAAATACTGTTTAATGTAGCATATACATGTCAGCGCCAGGGAAGTTCCTGTCGTATATCTGTGGGTTGTTACAACATTCATTAAACACTCAAAAAATAATATGTCATGCTCAATATCATATCAATTTTTAAAGTGGATTTGTCTAGCTAGGAAGGAAGTTAATTATCTAAAATGTGTTTTTAGGTCCAGTTGATCAAAAGGGAAAGTATGGAAGTTTAAAGTCAATGACTGATAAGCAAATATAATAAACTTGTTGTTGAATAAAGACAAAATTTTCTGGACTTTAAATCTTGACTCTGACAGATATGTATGTACATTCATTAAAAGACAAAAATTGTATAATTAGAATTTCATGTATTTAACATTATCATTAATGACCTGAACAAATTAAATACAAAGAGAGCTATGGTTTAATATTTCTTTAAGATAGTTTTAAACGTTATTGTAGATAACAATTTGATTCTGAAATGAACATATTAAAGACCAAGTGCTGAAAGTATGTGCCTTTAAAGCCATACCACACCTTTACAAGTCTCAGTTATCATTCATTTCAAAGGAGAAATTATGGAACGCTTCACAGAGCATAATTTATAGAAACATCAATCAAATAGTTTTTAATTTTTTTCTCACTTGTACTACTACGGTAGATGTGTATAAAAATAAATCACACTATCAATTACTGCCTATCAAAATGACTATAAAAGTTTGAACAAATTTTGAATATTATCATACAAAATACATGTATCATATGCAAACACTGTCTATATGCGCTGTTAATCTTTTTATTTAAGCCCAAAGTAAGAATTTCAACATTTTGTAATGTAATAACTTTTGGAGGCTTTGACTGTTGTATCAGAGTAAAACGATGAACTTTTACTATTCTAGAAAAACAGATGTTTAATTTTATTTTCTATAATCTAAAAATAATTTCAACATAGGAATACCTCTTTGAAAGTACTTTTGAAATGGATTTTGTCATCAATAGAAGGTCAAGCAAACTTGAACTTTTCAAGTTTTGCAATAGTGGATAAAGTATTTACAAATTATTAGTTGGACAAGAATCAACCAATGAAATTGTAAGGATACATACTAATTATAGGTACCTGGCTCATCTATCACATGACCTCAACATGTTCTATAAAGTAAATATAGATAAACATATATGACATACTGTGATAGAGATAACAGAATACAGAATATTAAGAAACCTGAATGTCAATGTTTTATATAGGTGGGACATACCACTATGTAGGCAGGTCATATCACTATCTAGGTGCGACATGCCACTATCTAGGTGGGACATACCACTATCTAGGTGGGACATACCACTATCTAGGTTGGACATGCCACTATCTAGGAGGGACATAACACTATCTAGGTGGGACTATCTAGGTGTGACATACCACTCTCTAAGTGGGACTATCTAAGTGGGACATACCACTCTCTAGGTGGGACATATCACTATCTAGGTGGGATATACCACTATCTACGTGGGACATACCACTATCTAGGTGGGACATATCACTCTCTATGTGGGACATGCCACTATCTAGGTTTGACATACCACTCTCTAGGTCGGACATACCACTCTCTAGGTGGGACATACCACTATGTAAGTGGGACATACCACTATCTAGGTGGGACATACCACTATGTAGGCGGGACATATCACTATCTAGGTGGGACATACCACTATCTAGGTTGGACATGCCACTCTCTAGGTGGGACATGCCACTATCTAGGTGGGACATACCACTTTGTAGGTGGGACATACCACTATCTAGATGGGACCTACCACTATCTAGGTGGGACATACCACTATCTAGGTGGGACATACCACTATCTAGGTGGGATATGCCACTCTCTAGGTGGGACATACCACTATCTAGGTGGGACATGCCACTATATAGGTGGGACATACCACTCTCTAGGAGGGACATACCACTATATAAGTGGGACATACCACTATCTAGGTGGGACATACCACTATCTAGATGGGACCTACCACTATCTAGGTAGGCCATACCTCTATCTAGGTGGGACATATCATTATGATGATGACCAGTCACATGTGATAATGCCTCTTAAATGATTCTTTTTGTTTCAAAAGAACAAAAAAACAAAGTCTGAAAATTTTTTTTCATCACATGTCTTACATACTCAACATAGAAAACTTTATACGAGGAAATTGAATGTATATGATAACTGTTGAGCTGTAATGGACTATATATGTAGATTATAACCAGAGGTTTTATAAAAATTAACCCCTATTAAGAAAGTACAGTCCACGCCTGTGTGAGCACATGACAATGTAGGATTGAGACTCGAATCCCACACTTCACCGATGTTTGTTCTTAACTTACATGTACCTTAAGTAATTCATAATAAAGCTAAAACGTTTTGGTGCAGACAAGATTTAATTATTTGACGATCTTGCCCCAATTGTGCAGACTTGAAAAAATGACGGAGACACTAAACATATATCTATCTAGCATATCAGTCTATGTTTTATCAATCATGGCTATATCTTGTAATTGGTTTGAAATTATGGTTGTACTCAGGTCATTTGTCTTGTCCTCTGAAGTCAACATCGTACCTTCCTTCTCCGTGTGTGTATATATATATATATATATATATGTTTAACAAACACGATGCTGTACTTCCCAGCACTAGGGTTTGTGTATTGTAAATCCTCAGTTTAAAGTACCTTTGTAAATTCAAGTGAACATGTGGATGGGTTTATTTATATTTACTCAATTGTAAATGGAGACCTCAAGTTTGTTTCCGTCCTTAACAAAGGCGGGTACTCACGAGTATCTTGTACAGGTCAACCCGAACAGGTCAACAAAAACTTCACGCTGTTTGTTCTATAAATTCAGGCAAATATGAAGACATCAAATTTCGCCTGAACACTTTCGGTTGATTGGATTTGATAAAAATCAATTTGGGTAAATTGCAAACTCATATTTCTGTTCAGCACATGGCTCAGTAAAGTCTCCCTAGAAGGCAATTGAGTATTTTTATTTCATATTGCAATTGCTTTTGATTTCCCTAAACTGGCAGGTAGTTTATACAGAATGAAATCAACTTTGATGTTACAGATAATAGTTTATTTGCTAGAAAGTTTGATTAAAAAAATAAGCTGCTAGAATGCTTATAATGATAAGTGTAACATGAATAAAGGAAAATTACTATTTCCCCTCCAACATTTGTTTATGGTTAGAATTTAAACCCAAGTAAAATAAAACATTTTGTTTAAACTTAAATTGATGATATGCGCCGATTTTAGCTGAAAATACAAAAAAAAAACCAAATAAACACAATATTTAAATACTGCATGTTACCTAAAAGCGTGGGGTTATATCTGAATATAAGCCTTTGCAGTATAAGTAGAATGGGAATGGGCTTATTAGAGAGCAAAATCATTTGGGCTTATACCCAGTAAATAAGGTAAACTTACGATTCATACTGCTAAACGTACTACTGTAGCAAATAAACACTAAACCTATTGTTTGTAGCATCCTTTATTTCCTTAGAACCGACAAAGTTATCATCTCTTTTTGAATCTCCAGTCTCATTGTAGTTGCCACAAATTAGCGGAGACCTGATCAAATTGTCCTCGTTATCATTGCCCAGCCTTTTACACTGAAAGCATTTCCATGTGTCACCCGCCAAACAATCAGTCCCAAGTACCTGATCCAGGGGAGAGGTCCTGGGGGGCATCCATGCCCACAAAAATCTTTATCTTTAGTGTGTATGAATCATGCCATATTGACAAATACCAGTGTGTACAAACAAGGATTTAATCAGGATCTCTACACATACTAAGTGACCCAATAGGCATTTCTAAATACAAGCACAACCATGAATTTGTGGTGGAAAATGACTATAATTGTTGAATGTAATGAGAAAGTATTTGATAAAAGATATCTGGGTTGAATTTTGTACTCTGCAACACCTTAACCATTCTGAATTATATAAGTTTTGAAACATTACTCTCTGGGTGCCTGCTTCCTGTTACCATGGTAATCTTTATAAAGTAATGACTTGCATGGTCATGCAATGTCTTTTTTTTCATCCAGCAGCTGTTTACTTGTCAGAACACCAAAGTCTTTACTACAGTGTTAAGTGTGTTGTGATGTTTTGTTTTTTTGGAGTTTGACAATGATCAAATTCTGCCTTGTTTAATTCAACCCCAAAGTGCTGATACGTGAGATATTCAAAATTTTTAACAATAATCCATCCAGGTGTTCCTCAATAGTACTCTACTCACCTTTAAAGACTGTACTGCCTCGGTCAGTTCCACGGTCCTCTGCTTGTTTTCTGACCTATCTGTGACCATTTGTTGTTGTAAGGTTTGGTCCCCAAACTGGATGTTGGCTAGCTCTTCCATGGCCGTGGCAAAGCCTGTCTTCATTTCCTGTACCATTTCCTGGACCTGAAACACAGTGAAAATAGGTCACTGTGACATTGTTATACATTATCAGGTCGGCATGTAGGTCACCATAGCACAAATGTATAAATCTGAAAGTAGGTCACAGTGTTTTGATTTTATCATATCACCTTGACCTGAAGGTTAGTATGTAACTCAGAATTATAAATAATGGGGGAAAAAAATAAGTGTGCTGAAATCGACCTGAGGTCTGGACATGGAAAATCGGACACAGGAGCCATTGCTGTACCACAAACAAACCAGAATGTATGAGTGGTGGGTGGGAAATCGGGAAATTGACTGGGGCAAAACAACAACACCTGGCACACCAACAGCCCCATAAAACACCAGCCGTGCATAATCCATGCAAATCCTAGCTCAGGACAAGTATGATCTGAATGCGAGATTGATTTTTCGCGGAGCATTGTAAGACTTTTATCTGATCTTTTTACAGTATCATATATAAAAAGAATCAACGACATCAGAAAAACGGACAGGTTAGATTGACTGACTTTGATTATTTTTAATGTTGTAAAAGAACTTATAAACAACCTGTTATCCTTATATATTTTAAACATAAATATCATGTTATATAATATATTGATTTTCAAAATCATGTATATGTATAAGAAGGGGGCTGGTGTGGTGTCTAAAAAAAATATATAATAAGATATTTTTGATCTTTTATATCATATTGTATATGTATAAGAAGGAAGCTGGTTGGTCTGTAAGGTGCATACTGTACAGCTTCAGTCAGCTGACAGAATATGTTTCATTGGCATGGCTGGTTAGATCTGATGATTATCATACTAGCAACAGGTGGTTTGATTCCTGTCCGGGACACTTAACAGGAATTTAATATCCCCTTCTCAATTGCATATACATAACAGAATTAGGTAGATGTACACTGTATGTTAACACTATCTATGGTATTCACTGACACAACAGATACAATCTAACATAAAATGCCCATAAGTTACCAGGTATATAGAAACTTGTTATGTCAGGTTTTGTCTCTTGGTCTTAAGGATTCAAACAAAACCTCATGATTAAATGTCTAGCGACTTTTTTTCATTGTCAAGCTCCAGTCATCGTTAGTTAATACAAGTATTGATTTAGGTTGAAATATTATAGAGTTTTCCTTCTTTTGAAACCCTGAAGCAAAGTAACCAGCTGGCGATACATTTTAAAATCCCAATTTCATTTACTGACAGTACAACAACAGCTAAAAACTAATGACTTTTCCTGTCAATATATACATGAACAAGTGGTATTCCAAACATGCAGGAGAGTAATTTACTGCTCGTCAATCTTTGACTGAAAATTGTGCATATGAAATCCTATCTCTGCAAACTTTAGGACCACGGTATAGGGCTAGGTTTGTTTTAAAGCTTATTACAGGGGCCTTAATCACATTCACAGACACTATTGTATGTGTGGCAATACACCGGGGTGTTACAGGTTTTATAAGAATATCATTATATATTATGATGTCATATTTACTGAACACCTTTTGACTAATGAGCAACATTCCAAAGACATTGTTCACATTACACAAGTTATTACATTAGAAGGTGAAGTGAAATTGGACAATCACCAAGTCGGACGAGCAGTGAAAGAGCACACAACATTTAGACTGCCAGACTCGGTTTTGACTAGGTTTGTATGATACAAACAGGCAGAAACAGGAATGACATTCTGGTTCAGTTGATGCACATGCATTAACAGTTTTTACTTGAGAAGAATGCTTGAGAATGTAATATTCGGTTTCCATTATGGCTGACAGTAACAAATCCAGCATGTTTATAAAAGTCATTAAGCCCTTTATATGCATTACTGATACACACAAGGTTTTACTTGTAAAAGGTTTTTGGAACAGAATCAAAATAAAATGAAACATGAACATGATACCTAGAAGAAGTAATGAAATTCTAGTATGTAGCTCAGTATCTATATAAGGAATGGTGTTTGAGTGCTACCTCTGATGTATGATTGTAAGTGTTTGTAATGGAGACGTCACAACATCTATCCTCCAACAGTAGCTGGGAATGAGGATATATTTTTGTGCTATCTGATAGATAATCCCAAAGCATCAAGACTGTAACACTGACTGACAAGTCAGCAACAGGGACCCAGTGCTGCATGTATCTGCTTGACCTTCATCACATAGACTGATCTCTACTTCATAATCTGACCGCTGCCTCAAAATGTGACTTTTACCCCACAATTTGACCTTTACTCCATAATCTGACCTCTATCCCATAATCTGACCTTTAATCCATAAGCTGACCTCTACCCCATAATCTGACCTTTACTCCATAATCTGACCTCAGTACTTCATAATCTGACCTCTATTCAATAATCTGACCTCTACTCCATAATCTGACCTCTACCCCATAATCTGACCTTTACTCCATAATCTGACCTCAGTACTTCATAATCTGATCTCTATTCCATAATCTGACCTCCACCCCATAATCTGACCTTTACTCCATAATCTGACCTCTACAACCTCAGCGGAATGTACTAAGAAAATACTGTTTGAACATAGAAATGCATCAGCCCGTCACCTTAGAATCTCTAGAGCAATCTCAACCAAGCACGTTTATTCATTACCATGGTAACAGATTCCATGGAATATGTTTACCTCTGAATATCTCAACTTCTAAATTCTTCTTGCTTGTAGCTTTGGTTATAGACAGGTCTGAGGTTCATCTGTACAATCATTACTGAACACAGTCATAGTTGTAACACTAAGATAAGTTAGTCTATGTCCATCTTTACACTTCTAACATAGTCCTTATCACATCTAACTATTCCCTGATCCATGCATGTGAAAAGTCTGCCAAGTTTTTTCATGGCTGTTCTGCTTTCTCTTTGAGTGTTGGGTGTTTGACTCTCTGCATGAACAGCAATGTATCTAGCATATACACATTTTATCTTATATGTAACGCAAAACAATCCCAACTGCACATCAAACACAACACAAACCATTCACACAACTGCCCATAAATCATTTTTTCTTTTTCAGAGCGTATACTTGTGAATCATTTAGTCGAAAAATTTAACAGAATCCTGCGTGATTTATGACTTAATTTCAATTTCGTATTAGATATGATAATTTTAAAGAAATTTACGATGTGTATCAAACATTAAACCATTTCTACTGTTTGACAGATATACATGCACTTCTGGCGTTGTATTAATTAAGTATAGAATTAAGTTGTGTGATACACCACAAACCCTAGGTAACTATTTATTTGATGCTGAACAGCGTACTAACACATATCTGATGTTTAAATAAGCACATCATTTCGAATTAAATTGAACATTACTTCAACATGTCTGCCTAATCAAATGTTAACTGTCGATTCAAACAAAACTGATAAACTTTTCAGGAGAGCTACATCTACCAGACAGTCTGACAAATGGGCCGATGAGCAGACGGACATGGACAGATGGACAGACACTATTTGTAGTACAGAATGAGTGATAAAGTCTTTGATACTCACCAGGGCTAACTGTTCTGCTAGCTCCATTTGGTCCATGGTGGCTGCAATGAAAACGGGACAAAAGTTGTAGAAATATGACAATCAGATCCGCAAAACAAATACAGTTTTGCAGAACAATAATAATATCCCTGTTGAACAATATTTTACATAATAGAGTTTTGAAATAGCTTTTTATATCAGCATGTGTTACATGTATTGTACAGTATAAATGTACTTTAAACCTCTGTGCCTGCATTGTGGAAATAACTTTAAATGATTATAGACAATATATACAATGGTATGGTAATTCTATCAAACATTATAGGTGCATAGAATCATTAAATTGATTCAAGTCCACTGAATACCTTCTACACGAATATCTGATTCCCGACTGTACTACATAGGTACGAGTCAACAGTAGTAAACTTGCCGTGGAGAATGGACCCAGGATGTGACACATCAAGCGGCTGACAGGTGCTTGTCTTCCCTAATGACAACTGTCCTACTGCTGAGTGTTATAAAAAAAAGTAGCAGACCTACAGACTCAAGTAACATATAAACTAACATGTTCTGATCAGTCACTGGTGTATATAGCTCTATCGCTGGTCGTCATCATGCTGACAATACCTCATCCAACCCAATAAAGACTTGTAAAATCTTCCTCAGCTACATTTAATTCAAGCGAGATGGACTTAGTTACTTTCAAAAACACGTATCACTTGCCAACTTTTAAAAATTTTCATGGGGGGAGATTTTACACACTTAAAAAATAAAAGCATGCATGAGATGTATGTAGAGACCCTCCAGTAAAGAAACAACATTTGAAAATGACATCTTTCGAATTGTACATTCAAATGAAAGCTGGAGCTCTTCATGCATATGCATTTGTTAAGCAAATTCGCTTATTAAAAAATTAAAAATAGCAAAACCAGGAGTTGAAAATCGGGCGTCTCCCTCCTAAATATGACAGATTGGCGAGTTTATCACCAGAAACAAGGAAATTATATAATACTTGACAATATTTGAAATAAAAACTCATAATTTGGACTGTAACATAATAAGTTGGTGATGTTTTGTTCAAATTGTAAAAACTTTCTCTACAAAAAGGCAAATTTTGTGCTCTTGATAATTTGAAACATTGCAAACCAACATTTTGTTTAGCTGTTCCTATTTAAGATTTTGACAGTCCAGCAATAAGCCAATGTATGTTAATAAGCCCGCCCAAATCTATATCAGAAAATCGCCCAGTAATAAGCCCATACATTCCTCCTCTGAATCAGATTTTAAAAGTTCAGCCCTCGATTGTGAACTTTTGTTCCTGAAGGTTCCTGATCAGTAGCTTCTCAACTCTAAGCCTGATACTTGATATCTGCTACAACAGACTTGAGACTGACTCCGTAAATCTTCAGATGTCTGGATCTAATCATTGACTTTATAATCTCCCCTTTGTGATTTACATTGTGTGCTCTACACCAGTCATACTGTTTGTACTAGGCAAAGCCAAACAGACAACTGTTGGGATTTATACATAAAGCTTTGAATCATAATGGTTTTAGATTTGATGGCTAAGACTGGTAGCAGTTATCATGCAGTCAGATTACAAGTCATATTTCTTATTTGTACGTATTACTTGTGTTATAAAGAAAGTCTAATCAGTGAGTGTCTAATATATATTATCTTTGTGTGAGATGATGAAAGGTTTTCCTCAAAAAAATCCTTAAAATGACAGCTGAACATCAACACACAAATCTGCAACCCCACAAAAGGTGACAGAATATCAATACTGAGGTCTACAACAGGTGACAAGATATCAATACTGAGGTCTACAACAGGTGACAAGATATCAATACTGAGACCTACAACAGGTGACAAGATATCAATACTGAGGTCTACAACAGGTGACAAGATATCAATACTGAGGTCTACAACAGGTGACAAGATATCAATACTGAGGTCTACAACAGGTGACAAGATATCAATACATAGGTCTACAACAGGTGACAAGATATTGATACTGAGGTCTACAACAGGTGACAAGATATCAATACTGAGGTCTACAACAGGTGACAAGATATCAATTCTGAGGTCTACAACAGGTGACAAGATATCAATACATAGTCTACAACAGGTGACAAGATATTGATACTGAGGTCTACAACAGGTGACAAGATATCAATACTGAGGTCTACAACAGGTGACAAGATATCAATACTGAGTTCTACAACAGGTGACAAGATATCAATACTGAGGTCTACAACAGGTGACAAGATATTGATACTGAGGTCTACAACAGGTGACAGAATATCAATACTGAGGTCTACAACAGGTGACAAGATATCAATAGTGTGGTCTACAACAGGTGACAGATTATCAATACTGAGGTCTACAACAGGTGACAGAATATCAATACTGAGGTCTGTAACAGGTGACAAGATATCAATACTGAGGTCTACAACAGGTGACAAGATATCAACACTGAGATCTACAACTGGTGACAGAGTATCATAACATATAGATCTAAAACATGTGACAGGATATTAAAATGAGTTCCCCAACAGCAAAGGTGACCGGATATAAATTAATAGTTCTATAACTACTAACAGGGTATCAATAATTAGCTTATAAAAAGTGGTACTACCTCAGTATGTACAGATAAGGAACCAATAACTGTTTTATCCCACACAAATTACTGTACATTTAAATTACAGCCTTTAACTGATTTTACTAGCCTACGTTTGGTGTCAGATTTCATACTCTTACTTTGATATATAAGTATATATACCAATCAGTGTGGTAACCAAAGCCGTTCCAGGAGGTTTGTTAAATAAGTAAGCACACCTATGTTCAGCTTAATATTACCTTTTCATTTCCTGGCTAAAATTATATGTCTGTTTATCATTTATACGTACATGTCTGTCAAGTCAGCAAAATCAATATAATCCTTCCATATATATGTACAGCTTTCCCAAAAGTACTAGTAAGTCTAACATTTAGGGTTACCACATTTGAGTAGCACCAGAACAGTGTGTGTTGCACCTGTGTAGCGGAACGTTGTGACAATGAGCCAGCCTTTTGACTGCTAGTGCTGACAACAATACTACAAAACAATGCTCCCACCAAATGTCAGATAAGTGGCCAGATTTAGTTCACACAGGCCAACATTCCTTACCATATGTCTCCAGACCATCAACAATACCTTATATGTAACAAGTATTAAAATCACCAGTTGACAGAGTTTTCCTATATTTAAAGTCCCACCCCCATTCTCCGTGTCTGCACACAGTGAACTGGTAATGTTTAGTTTTACAGATAATGCGTATATATATTTTTTTAGCTCCCTCCCCGTGAAATTTCAACCCCCTCAACCATCCTTTCATGCTCTAGTTAACTGTAGTATACAGTACATGTGCCATTTAGTGGAAGCGTTCTGTCCAGCAATAATACAATATTTCAGTATTAATCAAGATGAGTCTTAAATTTGTTTTAAGTCCTTTCCTCTTTAACAACTATTAGGACTAAATAAATGGTGACCAGCACCTCATTAGATGTGGCTCAGGATCCCAACTATACCTACTTACTGTCAAAACAAACATATAATTCTATATATGGGGTAGTGAAACGGTGTAATTCTCAAATGCAATCCCTCTTAACGACAAATTGTGTATTTCAATGTTATCTAACAACAGAGATATTAATCCAACTACTCCATTTGATAGACACATTAAGATAATTTTGAAGGATATCGTAAAGTCCTTTTACACAAAATTTTCAAAATTACAATGATTTGTTTTTTAACAGGTAAAAGAATTAAGAAAATTGAGTGAGAAATCCCTTGGTCTTTCTGCATGATTACAACTCTTATCATAGCAATTAAAAGTTAATTAAAAGTGAATCTCACAGTCGTACGTGTATATGTTAGAATAAATGGGTTCAACAAGCATTGACTGACTGTAATAAAAATGTGATAAACAGTCTGGGGCCTGGTGCCACAGGGTCCAACAAATAACATACCTACCAAGACCTGTCACACATTAATAGCTCAATCTTGTCTAACTTTTCACCTCACATAATGTTTCATTTCAATACAGTCGCTGAATAAAGCTTTTATTTTAAAAAAGTTAAAACTTGAGACAGATTAATCTGATCTATATATAAACCGCTAAATTGGCTGTTACTACACATGAAGATATCTTACTATCACAATGATCGTGATGTAAAACCTACTAAGAACAATTATATCGAAACTGTCTACACAATTAGATAGTAGTAACTTAAGGATGAAAAAAATACACAAAAACATGCCCTACAAATTTGTTATTAAATGTTTGGTAACACACAAAGCACCATACCTATAGATTAAATGTGACATGTCATTAAAAAAATGTTATCGATAAGTGTGTATACCTGTAACATGTCAATGTGTACCTGTAACATGTCAATGTGTACCTGTAACATGTCAATGTGTACCTGTAACATGTCAATGTGTACCTGTAACATATCAATGTGTACCTGTAACATGTCAATGTGTACCTGTAACATGTAAGTATATACCTGTAACATGTCAATGTGTACCTGTAACATGTCAATGTGTACCTGTAACATGTCAATGTGTACCTGTAACATGTAAGTATATACCTGTAACATGTCAATGTATACCTGTAACATGTCAATGTATACCTGTAACATGTCAATGTATACCTGTAACATATCAATGTGTACCTGTAACATGTCATGTCAACATGTAAGTATATACCTGTAACATGTCAATGTGTACCTGTAACATGTCAATGTGTACCTGTAACATGTCAATGTGTACCTGTAACATGTCAATGTGTACCTGTAACATGTCAATGTGTACCTGTAACATGTCAATGTATACCTGTAACATGTCAATGTGTACCTGTTACCTGTCAATGTGTATACCTGTAACATGTCAATGTATACCTGTAACATGTCAATGTATACCTGTAACATGTCAATGTATACCTGTAACATGTCAATGTATACCTGTAACATGTCAATGTGTACCTGTAACATGTCAATGTGTACCTGTAACATGTCA